TGGGGAAAAGGTTAAAAAAATAATAATTTTCATATAAGATAGCATAGCTTTGTTCCACTTTGTGCCTTTTTCAATTTATTTTCTTATCGTCATGCCTGAAAGCTGTGAAAGCATTTTGGGCACAAAGCCACTGATGTATTCATGAAAATACCTGTCTGATACGCAGTTAGCAACTCCTCTTTTAGCAGCTTTGGAAGATTCAGTAGTTACAGTCAACATTTCAGTACTCGTGATGTAGTAATTAGACCCAAGTGTGTACTAAGAAAACCCCTTTTCCTTTTGCTTCCTCCCAGATTCCTGACTGGAGACAGACTAGCAAGGGAAATTTTTGATTTATGTGATATTGCCCAAAACACAGCATAAAAAGTGATGAAGTATGTGGAAGTCCCCACCCTGAAAATCTTCAGGCACATGTTTATTTTTACTTACTGGAGTCAGGATTTAGGCACCTGTATTTGCAAGATTCTGCTCTAAAAATAATTTATTGGTTTAATCAATAATTCTTATCCCAGTGTCGTGAGTTGCTGTCTGCCTTACAGTATTGGAGAGTTTAAGTCTCTGTTGTAGGAAAAGCAGTGGTCTGAATTCTCTCCCAGCCACTTGCACTCTCTTTCACAGAATTTTAAAAGCCAAACGGGCTCATAAATTCAGCTTCTACATATTGCTGTACTGCAACTAAGCAGCAGCAGCAGCCACCACCTAAAAAATAAAAATTTCCATTTGTGTCTTTGTGGTTTTGAAATAAAAGCTTGGAAATATATTTGAATGCAGCATAAAGTAGGACTGTAAGGAGTTTTCTACAGATGCTGTTTCCACCAGAAAGCATTGGTGGCAATGTTTAAATCAAGCAAGGTAAAAATATATAAACCAAAGAAAAGGAATTGAGGTGATTTGTGGGGAGGGGAGAGTTTGACCATGACATTTAAGGACGCCTTTCTGCTGCTGGGGCCTAACGTAGGATTTTTTGCATGTTTCAGCTAAGGAATATGTCCATTTCTACTCTTAGTTGGCATGCTCATGATAATCTACATAAAAAAAATCCAATGCCCATTTGACACCATTTTAGGCAGCAGGAGGAGCCTGGGGGGGTGGTGTGGCCACAGCAGGCAGACAGGAGCCAAGGACTAACTGGGGAGAAAAAGCCCATTTCGCTGCTCTCTGGTAAAACCACAGTTGTTGTGCTCGTGCTTCTTCTCATTGCAGCTATTTCAGAGGGTCGGGAAGCCAAGACGCTTAGCCAACGGTCAGTGCTGGGCGTGCAAATGCTAGACAAAAGTGAGCGAGATCTATTCACAATCTTGTGAACACAAAATTAATTTCAATCTATTACAATTTCAGTGCTTTTAGAGTTACATGAGGTACATTTGTACCATAAATATTATCCTGGGAAGAAGAATTCACAATGAGTATGCCTTTTAGAAATGTCTTGGCTGCATTGCTCTGGCAGTAATGTAAGGTGGGAGATTGGGTTTTGCAGCTACACAAAGTATTTGTGCTTAATTGAATCCACAGCTTGGATTTACAGAAAGCAAAGAGCCTCTCGGGCCACAACTAGTAGCCTTCATGATAACATCACTCATATTACAACTCTGCTGCCTGTTTTGCTGCAGAAATTAACATTTTAACTCCGTCCTGATTTCCAAGAGGTGAAGGAGTTTGTTACAGATGAGCACTTTGGCATCTTCAGGAATGGAGGGGAATGTAGCCCTGACAGCCGGGGTTAGACAACATCATTGTAGGCAATGTGCATGATACCGTCCCTGTTGGTACAAAAAGCAGTTTGTGGGCTTTACGTGGAAAATGGCACCTCCTGAAATACAACAAATATTCAAAATTATAAATGAGCTTAAATGACTAGCCATAATGGTGAGTCTTTCTAAGATGTTTTTACAACCTCAAGCGTGAGGACCCTGAGCTTTCCAAGTGTTGCAGGCAGCGCGGAGTGATACTTGACAGTGCACGAACCCTGAATCATCGATGTGCATTTACATGCTGTTTAGTTATGTTGAAGAGCAGGAACAGTTCTATTTCATAAATGTTTTTCAAAGGAACATAAATTCCTCATTTTTAATGTTAAATTCAGGCAAGCCGTGAGCTTGAGGCTTGCTAGGGAGGGAGCCGCTGGGTGGCTTTGAAGTTTTAAAGAACTTTGAAGTGTTCCAATCCATATGTTCAAGAAGAAAATTGTTCTTTGGGCTAGCTTTCAAAGTTTAAAGAACACGTGCCATGAGTGATGAGGAGAGAAGGGAAACTTCAGATGACAGAGTAGACTAAGAGGATTGTGGGGATGTTCACAGGGTGGCTGAGAACTGGTTGAGGATGGAGACAAAGCTGCTTTAGGAAATGAATGGGGAATAAAGCTGAGGAAGCCAGAAATCAGTGGCACAACAGTGAGTATTCCTTCTGAGATATTTACTTATCTGAAATGTGTCAAATGGAATTAGCAATGCCTGCTAACTAGTAATAACAGGATTAAAGACCTTTTCATGGTTCAGTCATAAAACAAGTAGTTCTTAATCCTGTGCTTTGACTGGCAATGATGGCTTTAAATTAAAGTTTTCCATTGCAGAGCCTAGACACTGTGGGTATCTTCACCATTAAAAATGCAAACAGCCAGAAAAGGGGGGGGAGAAAAGCAAAAATGATACTTCTGATCTTCAAAACTGAATTAGATTGAGCTCATTTAATTAAAGAAGTTGAAGTAAAGTAGAATCATTTGATCAAGTAGGCTTTTTTTTTGTAATCTCCTGAAAGCAGTTGTTTTTATAAGAGGAGATTGTCAACTGAAAGAAATTGCTCCTTAACTAAGCAATAGTCAATAGAGTGGTTCCCACTACTTATGCTGTCTGTAATTTAGTCTGATAGGAATATTTTACTTCACTTAAATAGCAAGTACTTGGCTAAATTATTTTGTTTTTCTTTGGGTAAGCAATTAACCATGCCTTGTTATTACTTGTATTTGTTTCTTTTACCTTAGAAAAAAAAGGTGGAAAGATACATTGACAAGGAGCGTTTGTCGATGTTATTTCAAAAGCTCGAGATGTCCGGCTTTCTCTAATCCTTGTTTTCTCTTGGTGTTAATGCTGGGTCATACATCAGCTTCCCATAAACTCTCAACAGTACCAAACATTACTTATACAACTATAAATGTAATTACTGGTCAGTACATTTTGGATTATTCAAACTGGATCAACTATTTTTACTTCAGTTTTGAACTCACCGCCAAGTTCTGAATTTCTGACCATAAAGAACTTTGTTCGAAGTCACCCTTGATTCCCAGTAATGGTTAAAATCATTGCATTGCTCCTGGTATGAAAAAACTCAGCTTCATTGCTTTATTCTGCAGAAATCATGAAGTGGCTACTGTTAGAAATCACGAAATGCCATTAGTTTGGGGACTCATAGGGAAATCTATTTCAGATGGTGATTTAGAAGGAAAGAGAACAGCGGTAATAGGGATAATAATACTTTGTTCTCTGGTTAGTGTTTTCCTGTAAGTCATTTATTATAGAAGTATGAGAGAATGATAAATGACTAGGCTTAAAATGGTCGTTGGTGGAAATATATTTACTTCATGTTAGCAGTCCCTGAGACTCCATACATTGATGAAATCATGGTACAAACATTTCTATTTTGTGTTCCTTCCCTAGTGCTGTTAGCTGCATTTTCTTAGCGTGAATCAAGTTGGGTGCATAATATTGATACTAAGTTGATTCCATCGTTAAGCTGTTCAAGCGTATATGTGGACGTTGTAATTTAACAATAAAGCAAAGAAAAAGGCCGAGACGATTATAGCTGAAATAAGAGTCTAGTCACAGGCATTGGCAATTCAGGAAAACGAGGTATGCAGAAGTACGGACAAAAAGGATTAAGAGCATTATTACAGGAAAAGCTAGTAGCTGTGGTTCTGCTTTTTATACCCATCTGTAGCTTTTGGCTTGTTAGCATCTCTGATGTTCATTTCTTATTAACCCTGACTGGGAAGGATAGTGCCAATGAAGAAATTTGGGACAGCAGTTAGCTCAATTGTGTTGCAGTGAAGTGCTCAGAGGTCTCCTGGCTGATGGGGGGAAGGCAGACATAAAGCCCGTTGTGGCATACATCTGTGTACATAAGAATTTCCATGTCATAAACCTTTCTCATCGTCACTGAATTTGTCTCCTGCCCTTTTTGCCATCACCATACTCCTCCGAAGTATTTTTGGGGGTTTTTTTGTTTGTTTTTCTTTTTTTGGCCTTTATCTTTCTTTTATTGCACTTTGCCATGGAGCCTGGAGGCCCATCTCACAAAATGAGTGAACTTGAAATCCTGTACAACAAAGTGAGCAGGAAAAGAAAAGCAGACAAGGCTGAGAACTGGCAGTGAAGTAGGAAAGGACTGGCCATCTAGTCTGCTATTTGCAGGAAGAGGAGCCTAGACTTGAAAATAAAGGGCATTTGTATAGCATGCTTGAGGTAAAATGGTGGTGTGTTAGAGTTGGAAATAGCGTCAGCAAGCTGAGGGAGGTTAACAGCAGTCCGCTATTATTTTTTTGCTTTTCCAGTATGTTCTCTCACCATGATATAAAGCCATAACTTACATTTATGATGTATGTACTGTGCTGTATGTACTTGCAGAAGTGTGTCTAATTTCACAGCTAGAAAAACAGATGATTTTATTAGATAGAATGGAATTAATGGAAAATGTCTATTCAACTGTTATAAAACTTGTCTCCTATATGATTCTGAGGAGTGTAATAATATTTGTTAAAGTGAATTGAAACATTTCAACTGGGAAGACAAGTTCAAAGAAAGAATTTGGCTTGGCATAAGTACTAAAAGTTTTCTTGATTTGTCCAAATTGATAATAAAAGGAAATACAGAGCCAGTGTTGGTGAAAACTCATGCTGAATTATTCTGTAGACTGTTCTGAGCCGGAGGAAATTATGTATTCACTGCTGAACATTCATTTATATCTACCAAAATGTTCTTTTTTCTCTCCATCCCTCTTACCTCATCCAGATTTATATTTTTGAAAATAACATCTACTATCAGCCTGATGTAAAGAGTAGCTCATTGCGCCTGACATCTTCGGGAAAAGAAGGAATTATTTTCAATGGAATTGCAGACTGGTTATATGAAGGTAAGCCGGACAAATATATCTGTTTATTAAAACAGATGAGAGGTTCTTGTACAGACCCAACAGCACAAATTATTAATTTCAGAAAATGCTATCTAAGGTTGTTTTTGCTTCTTTTCCTTCTCATTTTCTTGAAAGATTGCCTTGGTAGCTATTCATACTTTGTATTGACTGCTGTTTTGCATATAACAATATTTTCTGAGAAAGAGGAATTCATTTTCAACCAGAATGTAACAAATGTATTATGAACACTAGGCAGTGTGTAAAAAATGCTGTAGTAGTGGAATCTTGATGTGGGATTTTACCACTAACTTCAGCGGGGCTGGCATTTCAAATAGAGTTATTCAAATCAAACTAAACACCCTGTATGTTTTGCTTGCCTAGAATAACTCCGTTCATACCTTTGGAGCTATTCTGGGTTTACAGCGCAAGTGAGGAGGGAAAGGACTCCTCTTGTTGCTTGTGTGAACAACAGTGCCGATCTATTTACACGTAAAACATCCTAATAGAAGAAAGCACAGAATTGTAGCGTAGAAGCAGAAGTGGCTACATTTTCTTTTTTACTGATGGAAACGTAGCAAAAGGCGATCAAAGATGATACTGTCTGGTGCCTCACTTTTTTTTTATCGGTGTCTGTCCTTCAGCCTCAGTGGTGGATGGTGTGCTGTGTGCTAGCAAGACTCAGGAGAGCCTTCAGCCCCTCAAGCCAGACAGTAACATTGTCCTCGACTTTAAGAATGCACTTGAATCCAATTTGAGCGTTTTGACAAGATTTAAAAGTGTCATACTGCTACCTCAACAGTGGCTCCTACTTTTGCTTAAATCAGCCTGGGCCAGACTCCTGGAAAACTTGCTGTTGCTGGAAAGCCGTGCCAAAATGGAGCAGAGAACAGCTCAGTCTGTGATACCCTCTGGCTTCTGAAGCTGTCTTCTGCATGGTACCACAGGGCATTTCTCTCTGCACCCAACATTCTTTTAACATAATAATAAATAAATAATTGGGAGCAGATTATCCAGCTTGATACAAGAGCTTAAAATTAATACACATTTCAGTTATTCTTTCTATGAGACTCATTAATTTTATAGACAAATAGCTCAATGTTAAGTACTTGGTTACCCAAAGTATACAATTTCTCATATATGGAGTTTTGCAGGGCAGAGAGTTTTTTTGGAATACTGTTTATTGCAAGGAACTCCAATGGGGCTCTTAGAAATGATCTATCCATTCCTCCTGGGATATCAGTAGTTACGAGCAGATAGCTCACATAGATATTTTTTAAAATCTCTGCCCAAGTAAACTCTGAAATGAGAATGGTAGCTTGCATCCCTTAGCCATAAAAATGCCTGTTTACAGGCTTCCATGGTTTCTGTTAATGTTTTGAAATGTTTTATATGTTGGCACGTTTCAAAACTTAAGGACAAAGGACATCTTCAGAATGGAATATCATTTGATATACACTTCATATTCTTCAAAGCTAACATGACTGCATGTCAATTGAAGAATTTAAGCATAGGTAGCTGATGGAAGTTGATATAGTATAGTGAGTTTTTGCTGAAACAACGTAAAGTTAGTAGGAGTCACAGTCAGGGATGCGACAATTCTGCAAGCCTTTTGAGGCCACCCTGGGGTGCAGCTGGGTGCAGCCTAGAGCTGCAGTGAATGACCTGTAATGAAGGATCATTAGACAGCTCTGCTCCACAGGACAAAATGTGATCTGAGATTCTTTAAAAAACATTCCTTCCTAGTCTGCAAAGGATAATAAGGATATTGTAGGATAATTCAGGTTGGAAGGGATCACAAAAGGTTACCTGATGCAACTGATCAGTTCTGGTAATTGCCAGGTGTTTCATTTCAGCTGTCTGGAAGGGATGGAGTAGACTCCATCTAAGGATTATACAGATAGAAACTTAAGACATATTTTAATGGAAGAAATGTCAGGGGGTTTATATGATTTGGACCTCTGCATTCATGAGATCTACATTTAGGAACTGAAGAGAATCAAAATTAATTTCTTTTATTTGAAATATGCCAATATGCTAATTTTTTTATATATTTCAGCTTACCTATGTATCTCAAAAACAATATCCGAAAGAGGTTGATGTGGATTTTTTATAATTTCATTTGGTTTGAAGATGACCAAAGCTGTTGATAAAACAAATGACCATTCCTTTAAGCTTCAAATATTTCATAAAAGAAAATGGGGTAACTTGGAAGGAACAAGAGTAGCTAGCACAGTAATGGCAATGATGCTTGCCTGAGGTTATGCTCCTGCTTCTCTGTGTGTGCACATCCTACCTACAGGCACATTTTATTAGGTAATATTTGGGGACTGAAAAGCTTTAAAGCTTCACAGAACTTCTTTAGAGGAAAGCAAGACACGGAGCTCTCCATATGTGCTGTGGATGATTTTTGCCTGTGAACACATGGATACACGAGTCTCACACAGGGCTGATTTTCAAAAAGGCCACGAGCCAGCCAGGTGTATTCATCCAAATATCTTACACCTTCACATCAGTTACCACCCCAGTTTGTTCTTATTCCCGCTCTTTATAGCTATACATGCACCATTGGCACGAGAAGGGAAAGCACAAGGTGTCCAGTCTGGGGCTAGAAAGTTTCTGAAGTGGTCTGGGAGGTGGTACACATCCCAAAGCCTTCCTCCTGATGCATGTCCTAAAGCCTTCCTTAAGTGATTTTGCCCATTCTTTTCCTGGTTTCTTAATCCCCAGCCCAAACAACGGTTGCATTTCCTGACTTACAGAAAACTCTCTGGGCTCCTAGGGAGGCAGGCAGGCAGGCAGTGGGCTCTTCTCCACAATATCCATAATTAAGGTCAGAGTACAAGGGAATTCTGTGTGTACATGTTGGAGGACCACAGCCTGTTGACACGAATGGATATACTGCTGCTTTCCTGTTAACCACAGTTCAAGTTAGAGCAGTCTTCTACTTTCAGTAGTCTTTTTATTAGCATCAGAAGCTGAGCAGGCTGAATATTGTCCAGATGAAGTTAAGAGGTTTTCACTTGAATTCAGAACTGTTCCTCCTTTTGACCTCATTTGTTTTCTTTTATCATTTGCATGAGTTTGCTATTAGTATTTTACCATACACAAGCATTTGGGGAATAGCTTTTCTTTGTGTGAATAACCTTGTTTGAATGCAAACAGTAAAATTTTAAAACAAACACAATTGTGATTTTTGCTATCTGATATTCACCGTTCATTCCCTGCTGTTCTCCTGTGTAAAAGGTATTAGTTATCCAGCCAGGGAGAGAAGCGTGACCCAGAATATATGACTTTGAATATGGGTCCCAGCTTCATTGCGCATGACCATAGAGAATTCAACCCGTTAAGCAGCTTCAAAACCTTCAGAATCTGATTAGCATCTTAGAGAGTCTCCATTGACAATTTAAGTAGTTTTATAAGTAGGCTCTTAAATTAAGTATGCAGTCAGGCCTTTGTTCCAGTTAGTATACTATTCTCAATTAGTTTTCTAGCCAAATTCTTCAAATTTCAATCCAAAATGCTCACCAGACAAGTCAACATATGAAATACATAAGGAAAAAAATCAGTCTTTTCAGAAGTGGAAGGCAGAAGACCTGTACAGGGTGAATTTGGAATTGCTCAGGAGCTGCTTTACTGGGATTGCAGAAGTTTGGGTGCTGCTTCTATGGTTGTTTCTGGGGTTTTTTTTTCCTTTCTAATATGAAATACAAGGACAATAAATGTAAGAAAACCTTGCATGACACCTTGGAGAATTACTTTCATTTGGAAATGAAACAAAATTTGCATAAAAATAAAGGCTTTGTTTGCATTTTCAAAAAGTTGTATTGCAGAAAAACTGAACTTCTAAGAATTAAAGCTGACTATGAGAGTGAGGCAAAAAAGCCAAAATACTGCACTCCAAAAATTATTACATAAACATCACTGTGTGAGGATCTGCATGTTACCAGGTGCCACGGCTCAGAGAAATCGGATTTAGTAAAATTTTGTATTAAAAGAAAGAAAAAAAAAAAGATTGAAAATCCTAAAAAACCTTGTCCATTAAAAAGATCCAAATCGTTTTCAAATTAATTAAACACATCTAATGGAATGCAATAGAACTAAACATATGGCAGTTACAATCATCTTTCACATTTAGATGATTTATTGACGTCAATGAAAATACTAATTTGAGGAAAATGGTTAAAGTTTAGTCTTTTGATATGCCTTGTTATCCAAACATTCAACCCAGGATAATGTGAAATTACTGAAATTACAACAGGCGCATTTCAAGTAGGCACAGAAAGAACAAATCAGTGGCAACTGAATGAGCTGGAAACTATGTGTTAGTTATTTTTATGGACCCTAAAGAGATCTGGTTTTGCAGAGGAACTTCTTCATTCTCACGTTGCCCACTGGTGGTCTCCAGACGGTGAAAGACTGGCGTTCCTGACCATAAATGACTCTCTGGTGCCGAACATGGTTATTCCCCGGTTTACTGGAGGTCTATATCCAAAAGGAAAACAGTATCCATATCCTAAGGTAAGCTGAGTGTGAGTGTAGCCCCCACCTCCTGTTCCTTGTTCAGTGATAGTATTCAACCATGTGGAGAGAGTGTTTCTAGACAGTAACAGGCTGATTTTGTTTGTGTTGCTTTTCAGGAAATATTAATTACATTTTTTTTTCAGTAGACTGTAACATCTCTTGCTGGAAAGAAACTATCGGGTGAGGGAGCAGCAGACAAACTGATTCGTAGTAATTTCGTCATTGATATATGGCTTGGTAAAATCAATCTAGCACTTCTGAGGGAAGGGTAATATGTTTGGAGGACTGCGCAGAAAAAAAGATTCTGTCACAGCTGCACTGGAGTCTTACACACTGTGTGCAGAGCGCAGAGCATGTTCCATTGCAGTTATATAGATCTCAGTAAATTATGCTGTTACTAATAAATGTGACAGACTGGCCTTGAATAAGATAAGCCACAGTAAAATCTTTTCCTGGCCATCAAAATGAGGAAAAAAGAAAATAAAAAATAGAGCTATCACTGAGTTTCAAAAGATTTAGAGAAGGGTTTTTAGATTCATGTTGAAAAGTGAAAGAACAGCCCAGACAGGGATAATGTCTGAAATCAGTCCTCATTTTCTGGGGATTTCCTGAGTAGGTGCCTCCCTAGCCGACATTTTTGCGCTGAGCTCCAGCACTGGTGTCATCTTCCAACTTACCAGTTTATCCATCCCTTGCATGCGGTTTCAAAGTGTCCAAGTTCCTTTCTGATGGGATATGTAGGTCCATCTATGTGGTACTCCTTTGACGTTCAAGGGAAGCTCATTGAGGGCTTTAGAAAATATTACTGTTGCCCTATTCCTGCTAACACTTTTCAGTGATGACCCTTTATTCTCGATGGGTGGACAATTAGACTGTACCAGGCACTGTGAAACAATAATATGCATGATATAAATATAATGTATTCGTGCTATGAAATAATACTCTAAAATAATGAAGTATCAGTATTTTCAGAGGTAGTTCACATACTTGCATTGGCAAAAGGCCTTGAGTGATGGAGCAAAGAAAAAATAAGCAATATTTTTAATAGTCAGCTTTGTAAACAAGAAATGAGTAATTCCATTTCATTAGCAATTCAGCATAAAAGTGATGCACAATACTACTTAAGTAATCTCATTAATGAAAAAATATTATCTTTATTTAATTTCTCCATTTAATGCCAATTTAGCTACCTGTTAAACATCATGCTTTTGAAATGAAGTAATGAAGCTTGTGGTATAGCAACAGAGATGAAAAAAAAAAGGGTTGGTCTTTGTTATAGAATGAAACCATCAGAGAAAATTATATCTATGATTAAAAAGTACAATGAAACCTATATGTGTTTGTGAATACTGGAACATGCACATCTGCATACACGTCATATGCACAGACTGTATGCTTCAAAAAAAAATGAAAAAGGAAATTTAAATTTTGTTAAATAGGTCAAGAACAAAGTAGGATTTCAGTGTAAAGGGTTCTTGCACTACTGAACAACTGATTTGGGTATTATACAAAATTTATGCTATTTAAATTGTCATGAGGAGACCCCGAGTGGTAGAGGAGTTGAGGCTGTTCACTGTTGAGGGAGAGATGTTGGATATGAGTGTTTTCTACGCAGGTAGAAAAACCACCTTCAGCTGCCCAAGCCCGCTGCAGGGCACTTGGCGGTCGCCCCACGGACCACGGCACCTCCCCAGCTGTAGGGACCGACATCCTATCGAGGCGGAAACCACTGCTCTGGAGCTGTAGCTCCAGACATACCCACGCAGCAGAGTAGGGCACACCATGGGTATTTCTAGCAGAGAGGGTACGTTGGGGCAACAGAGCCCCCAGTAGAGACCCACTCAGGCTGGCAGCCTACCCTGGGCCATGCCGTGCCACAGCCCCCTCTGCCGCGGCCGGAGCGGGACTGGCGATGGCAGAGCTGGGGCAGTGCCGCACTTCTGCGCTTCATCTTCAGGGGCTAGTGCAGATCCCTCCCGGCGCGCTGCGAAGGTGTGCTTTAGTGTGTCTCTCTACAGCTCATACTATGCTGGATAGTGATTACTCGTGGCAGCCCTCCCAGTGAGCGTACTTCGATACCACCGCGCAGTCAGCGTAAGGTTCAAAGAATAGAAGGAGGCTGCAGTTGCGTCCTCAGGACTTCATCTTCCAGTGGTTTCCTTCCACAGTTTTGCTTTTGCGTAAGCTGTGCTCATGCAAAGGATGCCTTTGAAAGACCACATTTCTTTTGAGGCAAATGTAAAAGGTTGGGTTTTTTTTTTTTTGGTTTTTTTGGTTTTTTTTTTTGGGGGGGGAGGGCGGAATTAAATCCATTTGAAAGGGTTTTTTTAGTAAAAATACACAAATATCACTTGCTTTTCCCCCAGACTATATTTTGAGATAAGTCCAATTCCTAAAGGGAATTTTTGGGTGTATTTCAGCCAAGCTATTCTGCATTTCTAAATACCCATGTGAAGAGCCAGATATACAACTTTGTAGTTTATTATGATTAAATCTGTAGAATCAGTGATTTTACCTTGTCCTTCCAGTATGAAACAGGATCAGTCCCATTGAGAGGCACACTTTTCATCCCCCCTATCCCAAGGGCACTATATAGTGGTGTGTGACTCCTGTGATTTACATGAAAAAGCAGCTTGAATATGGTATGGCTGGGACAGGGAGATGGGACTAGTAGCATCGCCCTGCCAGCCCCGCAGAGCCTTGCCTTTTATCGCCAGTCCTTTCTCTTCATCTCAGGAACCTCTCTCAGTAACGAGCCATGTTACTGGGAGGAGGAGGAGTCCTGCCTCCCTATAGATCTTCAGGACTTATCACACTCTTCCCGATGGATATATATCAAACACTGTTTTGTTCCCCTTTAGCCACAAGAAGTATTCTGTTTCTCTTCAAGCTGGCCTGCCAAAGCAGCTGGGTCCTGAACAGGGCCAAAAATAGAGGTTTCCATCTCAGCAAGCCAGGGAAAGAAGACTGGGAGAAAATGGTAAAGGAAGAAGAGGAAGAGGAGGAATGTTATCCCAGATATAGAACAGCTTTTTGGAAGAAGGAACAATAGTGTCTGAAAAAGACACTGCTGGAGGCTGAGTGTGGAGGCTGGTTTAGGAACTGGCTGTGTTTTTACAGCTGACTTTACTGAACTGGGCCAAACCGCTTCTAGCATTGGTCCCTTGCTTTGCACAGGAAGGTCTGCCATCAGTGAAGGTCTGCCATCAGTAAAGGCAGCGAGAGAATTACTCAATTAATATTTCATATTTATACCTGTGTAATTCATATGGCTGTGAAATTATTTTTCTTTAATTTAAGATTTTTAAATTGTAGTAATTTCTCATTATTATAAAGATGCTGAATTATGTTAATGAGTGATTCTATTTAGCTGTCACTGATTCAGTACCTCTAAAGCTCCTATTTTCTTTTTTTTCAAAGGCAGGTCAAACAAATCCAGCAATAAAGCTGTTTGTAGTTAATCTGTATGGACCAGCACATACACTGGAACTGATGCCACCTGACAGCTTTAAGTCAAGGTACATAATTTCATTGTTTTGAAACTCATGTTTAATTTAACCTGACTGTCTCTCAGGCTAATCATTGCCTTTTTACATCAGCACAACACTTATCTTTGATCTCTGTCCCCATGGCTGAACATAATGATGATAAAATAAAATACAGCTGTACTGGTTTGATGCTCCTCTTAAAAATTACAGGGATCTGGTATTTACTCATGTCTGATGTCCTGAGAAGCTCCAGTTTACTTGAAATATATGAACTTAACAATCTTAAACTATGGTCCAAGGGGCTGACCACAGCCCTGTTTCTGAGGTTGTTCCTGCATTCATTCCCAGCCTTTCCTTGCTGTGTGCCAACTCGTTGCTTTCAGTCTCTGAAATGAGATTGCAGAATACAGAAGTGTATTACAAATGTGCAGAACATGTAAGCAGGGTGTTCCCTCAGAGAAATATCCCAAACTTTGCCAATCCAGCAGGTTACAGCAAGTTTCGTTTCTCATCACGGCCAACAGATGCAGTGAGGAGACAGAAGGTGAGGTGCAATGCTGCCAGGTCACATAGGCTAAGCAGGGCGGTGCTGTGTTTTTCGGGAGAAGGTGCTTCAGAAGCACTGAGCTAATTTAACAGTCCCTTTGACTGTGGGGCTGAAGAAATGAGGTCTGGCTGCAACTGGTGAATCTCCTGCTTCAGTTACTACCTTAAGCTGAGCTCCCAATTACCTGTCCTCACTTTGAGGTGCCTTTTTGTTTAAGGGAAGAAAACTTTCATCCCTTCCCATGCATGTATTCCAGTTTGTAGAATTGCAGTTGTATTGATTAAATTCCCATTGTGGTTTCAGTGCACATGTTAATGATTGTCTAACCCTAAATTATTATATAATACAGGTAATAATAGCAATAAAAGAGTAACCACAGTCCGGATCTGGCTGCGGGCTAAGGGCCAGGGAATTGCAACTTCCTCTCTTCAGTCAGGGCATTTTCAGATGGGGAAAGTCGTGGAAAGGATTGGCAACCCTAAAGCTACCGCTAGCTAACCCCCCTCCTTCTGAATATAGTTGCTTTTTTTGCAGTTCCTACAAAACCCAAAAGATTTTTTGGTAATTGTTCTCAAAACAATCAAGATGTTAACATGGGCTCTGATTCACAACCATTGCAACCAATTTTAAGCTGGCGTAGCACTCTTCTACACAAATTGAGGTACCCTAATTTAGTGCAGGAATAATTTAATAGTGAATTGTTCATTGCAATTATTTATGTCAGCTGGAATTCTTACTGATTGTGTTAGTGAAAGGAATGATTTGGGTTTTTTTGAAGTATTTGCTTTCTGTTGATAGGCTACTACTGAAAAACATAATAAAATCTCCTGCTGCTTGCTAAACCTTCATTAATTTAAGTGACAATGTAAGACCTGAAAGAGATTCCTTGCCATCAAGATTAGCATCTTAACTCTCTTAAACAGCATTAAAATTGTCCTTTAAATGTCAGAAGGCACAAAGAAGTGAAATGAGAAAGCAATGCATAAATCCCCAAGAAAAAAAACATCTTGAAAATGTTGTTCAGATGTTATGGTATCACTCTAGATTTTGCAGATTCATTCTTCCTCCCCAGCAGATTGAAAATAAAAGTAGAATCAAATGAATGAATATCAGTATCTTAAAACCTTTTTTGCATCTTGAAGCTGTAGGCTAGCAGTAGCTCAATTTGCGGAATTTCTTTTGTGAGCCTTAAGGAGCATTTTTGCCAGATTTTTGAGTCCTTGATAAAGATATTGCTGCTCTTTAATTGAAATAATATTCATGTTTAAAATTCTGTTTTGCTGCTGCATCAGAAGACAGAGTAAAACTATTTAAACCTGGAAAAAAGTTAGTTTTGTCTTAATTTTAGCTCTTAAGGTATAATGTCTGTGCTATAAGATTTAGAAAAATTACATGGTTGCCAGCCAAGTATACTGTAAATCTTGCATTCTGACTCTGGATTTGAGTAGCAGTCATCACACTGGTCATCAATCCATATATATCCATATATCAATATATAGAGAGGTATGAAGAATACACTTTGAACAGGCCTTTCTAGAGTAGAAATCATTGGAGTTTGTGATGGTTGGGAGGTTTGGGGTTTTTTCTAAGTATTAGCTTTTTTAATAAAAGTAGTAGCTACTTTTAGCAGTCAGGTTTTTTTCAGTACCTTTCTAATGTGTTCATTATGTAGTCATTAGTAAATAGGTCATGGGAGTCTTTCAGAATTAAATGGAATGGGACACTGTCATACATAGTTTTATGGATCTTTCAGGGCAGAGGCGTTTTGGAAATAGGTATTTTACAAGTCGTAACCAACTGCTATTACAGGAGAGATTCACTCCTATGCAGAGAAACCACACAAATGGGGAGGGGGGTGGAATTCTGTTATTTATAACCACAAAAAGTAACATTTAGATTCTCAACTCTCCCCAAATTGTGTGCAGTACAGGACCTCTGAAGACAGAAAACTGTTTCTCTGATTTTTAGAGCATCTGGAAACTTAATGTAAGATTGAGTAAATTCAGTGTTCTGCCTTCATTTACGTCTTGCCGTGATTCTATAAAGGTGCTTGGTAATATTTCCCAAGTTTTGTTCAGGTTGTTCTGATGTAAAGATAGCAATAACATTTGTAAATTTACTCCTGAAAGTTTTATTCTGTGGAAAAATGTACCATCTACTGTGCACTGCCCACAAAAAGGCTGACAATCTTCCTTTAAACGTGTGGTTGTATTCTGTGCAATTACTGTTTCCCCCTTGGTGTTTCCATTTCACTTGTACAGCTACATTATGTTTTCTTCAGTGGCAAACATGATTCTGTACTGCAGGGCTTTTTTCTCATTAGTCCTAGAAAGCCAATATACATGTAAGGTGAAATATGTGAGCATTCGTACCCTGCTAGCTCCTGAAGTTCCAGTTGGAAAGCTTAGACCTCCTGCTGCAAATCTTGAAAAAGCACTATGGTGTGCAAGCAGTCGGTTCAAACCACAGTACCTTAGGACACCTGAAGAATCCTTGTAACTGGTGATATTTATATATACGGCATAAATATGATACTAAGAAATTACATAGGCTGATTTTTCAAACCCCACGCTTGACTTTAGACCTGTCAGGCAGAAGAATTTAATTTCTTTTCCAAAGTGAAAATTGCTAAGACAGAGAGAACTGAAATAACATGAAAGAAGTTGCAGCTGAGTTATTAGAGTAGAACTGTGCTTCCATACACGATGAAAAGATTTTTCTGCTAGAACCACAGTTCTAGCAGAACATCGGCTCTTGCCAGTCTCCGTGGCGGGGGTCGTCCACTGTTTGCTTTCCCTTCGCAGTCACAGTGAGCAGACTGCATTGGCTCTGCACTAAGCCCAGCCGCTGCTGACCAGGTAGTTTTAAAACATGCTATAAGAAATTAAGTCAGTCCTTTTTCTTATTTTTCCCAATAGTGTTTATATGTCATATATACCTGCTTTTAAAGAGACTGAAATATACAGTCAGACCCTTCTGACTTTGTGTGACAAATTTAAATCATTTTTATTGATTTTAATTAATCTTTTTTAATGGAACTGGAAACACTTAAGAAATTGAGTTTGCGTAATTTCAAATAATGCTCTTGCAAGCCTCACCAATGTTTTTATTAACCATGCTTTTCCAAATCAACAAAATCATTTGGATATTTATGTATCTCTAGTTTGAAATCACCTTTTGAATATAGAAAGGTTGGGTTTATACCTCTGGCAGCCGGTTTGTCTGAGCCTTGTGTTGGAATAGAGGGTTTATTTGATTCTGACTGGAAATGGGAAAGATGGGGAGTGTGTGGTATTAAGAAAACTAGGGTTTACTTCCAGCTTTTCTTAGGTGTGCTATATCTAGTCACTTCTTTCACACTTCTGCCCCTCCCCTCTTCTGTAACTTGCCAATAAAAATACCCATCTCACAAGGTTAATGTAAAGGATTAATTCACTATCATACCTTATAGCAAATGGCTGTAATTCAGCCAAACCCTACAGGATAAAAATATATTCACATACAATCATAGAATGTTTTGGGTTGGAAGGGACCCCTAGAGGTCACCCAGTCCAACCCCCCCGCAGGAGCAGGGACACCGCTAACTAGATCAGGTTGCTCAGAGCCCCGTCCAACCTGGCCTTGAATGCTTCCAGGGATGGGGCCTCCACTACCTCTCTGGGCAACCTGTTCCAGTGTTTCACCACCCTCATTGTAAAGAATTTCTTCCTTATATCTAGTCTAAACCTACCCTGTTTTAGTTTAAAACCATTATCCCTTGTCCTGTCACAGCTGGCCCTACTAAAAAGATTTTCCCCATCTTTCCTGTAGGCCCCCTTTAGGTATTGAAAGGCCGTAATCAGGTCTCCCCGCAGCCTTCTCTTCTCCAGGCTGAACAAGCCCAACCCCCATACTTTATTTTATTGAAGCTTTCCCACACAATGCCAAGGTATTTATTGATTATTCCCTTACCAGCTTTGTGGGAAGAAATGCAAGTTCTGCACGTGGGCCAGGACAAGCCCCTGGTCAGCCAGGGCTGGGACCCGGCTGCTGGCCCAGCCGTCCTGCCGAGGACTGCGTGCTTGGGACTGGATGGGAGACAACGGCACACGCTCCTTGCCACCAAGGCTGGTGGTCCCTACCCTAGGAGGAGTCTGGCCAGCAGGCTGAGGGAGGTTGCTCTGTCCATCACCCGTAACCAATTTGGGGGTTCAGGGAGGACAACAGGAGTCTGTCAGTGGGCTACCAGGATGGTCATGACCAGGGCCATGGCTGCGAGGAAGTGGGGAGCAGAGCTTGTTAGCCTGGCTGGGATGGTGGCCACCAGCACCCGTGGGAAGGCGAGCTAGAAAAACTCCTTTCAACCAAATATCTGTGGGCTTGATGATCTTAAAGGTCTTCTCCAACCTAAATGATTCTATGATTCTTAGTCTCAGAAGAAAACTGCAGCACATACATCAATGTATGCATAAAGTCATGTATAGTGTCAAAATACTGACAAACTGTCGTTATCTTGGCTATTTTGCAGGTGTCTCAGTTTGTGTTGTTTTCCATGTGCGTTTCTGAGAATGACATTTTCTATTAGTATCTGTAAATTCTCATACACTTTTCTATACTCAACAATATAAATAATTTAAGAATACAGTAAATATTCTAGAGCATTGTGCATGGGGCAAGCTTCTGTTGTTTACCTTCTTAGAGAACAACCTGCCAGCAAACTAGGGACTGTAATAGGTCAGCTTTCTTCAGCTGAACCCTGTTGTATTTGTTATCCAAACCCAATTTAGTAATACCATCATCAAAAGTAAGGTTCCTTTTTCCATTGCCATAGATGTTAAATGTCTTCCAGCTATTCTTATAAGCACATTTCTTTCATAATCAGCTGACTGGTTTAAAGTTAGAGCAGATTTCTTCATTATAGTGAATGACATGATGTTGCAAAGTTTGACTCTTTTTCTTGAATAGTTTTTTATTTTAAAGTTTAAAACCATGGGGTTGCACTCTTTGGTTTGCTTGTTGACTGTGTCACCTGGTCTCATGTTAGATCTTGTGTTATTTTTGGCATATATTTTTGCTCTTCAGTAAGTTAAAAAGTATTTTGAACCAAAAAAAGCCCATAAGCATTAGACTCAGAATATACCTGAAGTCACCATTCATAGTCATCGTTCTGGTATCCACATGTGAAAATATCTCTCTTACTAAAAGTCACACATAACAGCCAGAAGAAAGTTGGGCATTTTGGGTTGTTCAGCTGTGTTCTTCAAATGTAGCTCCAGAGCAGGGCTGGGTGAAGCTGCAACGATCGGCTGTTGCCTGCATCTCCTGTGTGCAGCACCAGAGTTGTACACAACGGTGCTGTCGGCACTTAGCCTCTTTGATCTAGTAACAAGTCTTTTGAATGTATGATTAAATATGTCTTGTCAAAGAGTGGTGAGATCTCCATCAGTGTTAGATTAAAAGCCTAATCGGATGCAAGCCAAGGCCCTTCTTTTAAAGGGGGGCTGAGTTTCCAGACAAGTTTGCTCCAGTGTTGCAGGACTGTGAGAGCTGCCATGAGTAGAGAGTTGAAGCAAATAGCCTGGCTGGGATGACAAGCTGCACCAGGTCTTCCTCTGTAACACCCCCAGTCTGCCAGCCTCACAGGAGTTTGGGAGGAGGGAGGCAGATACTCCATACCCTTAGTCTGCACCTAGGAAGCCTCCCTGGCTCCGCCAGGGGTGCTGAGGGACAGACAGTTTGGTGTTACCAGCTATTTGTGAAAACGAAAGCTGACACGTGCTAGTCCTGGATGTGACGTCCCTTCATGCAGAAGTCCCGTTATGAAATACTTGTCATTTTATAACAATCGACATTTTAAAGTGGTGCCTGCCCTCTAACATTAACGACTTTTTTGTGTATGTGGCAGTAGGGCTGGATTCTTTTGCAAAAACATGTGTCTTCTGAAGGTGTTTGGAAAATACTGGCTTCTGTTGGAAGTGTTTGTTTTTAAGCTGGCCGGCCAGTACATGGTTCATGTGTATTCGCAAACAGGTATTTCACAAGTATACACTTTGCACTTGGTAGAATTTATATATTACAAATGGCTGAGGAGGAAGTACTAATGGAGAATAAATTGCCCAGGGGAACAGTGCCCTAGGAATGAGCCTTGCCCCTTGTAGGGCATTTGGGGTTATTTTCTCCATCCCTCAGTACGGATGCTGTCATGCAGTACAAATCCAGCATTTGATGAACTGTCTATTTTTTAAACAAAAACATCTAATCTGAAACAGGAATGATCTGAACATTGCATTTTCAAATGTTTACTTAGGGAATATTACATCACCATGGTGAAATGGATAAGCAACACCAAAGCTGTGGTGAGATGGTTAAACAGACCTCAGAATATCTCCATCCTTACAGTTTGTGAAACCACGACTGGGGCTTGCAGCAGGGTAAGTCGGATTTTTTCGTAAGATCTCTTTTCAAGGTTTCTTCCTGCAGTTTGTTTTCATATTCAGAAAAAGATTTTCAGAAATCATTTTGCAGATGCAGTAGTTGCAAGCTGAATATAATTAGTCAACAGGGAGGAAATAGATGTGAGAAAATTCCAAATCTGGTGAAATGATTTCATGCAATTAGCAACTTTGAGTGACATTTTCAGAATTACTAAGCTTTGTTCATTCATTAACTTCAGTGGAAACTGCAGTTGCTGAACATCATGTACTTCGGATATTGCTAGCACGGTGACAAGCTTGTCTTCCGTCAGATATTTTCAGCTGCCTGGTTTCTCCTCTCTCCCCCTACAGAGTTTCATTTCAGATCTTTCTGTCTCTCACAGCTTACATATGTTTAAGGCAGAGGTGTAAAATTCTGATAATCCCTGCAAATTCAATAGCAGAATTAAAGAACTTCAGAAAAAAGTAAAATTGAAAGGCAACAGGGATATCTCATTTTGAATATAAGTCAAGCTGAAATACATTTTTCTATTTGAATCCAGCCACATCCCATCCCTTGACCCAGACTTTGACTTCTGACATTCCTGCATTACATCTCTCCACTTTCGGAGTCAATCTTGCATCTTGAATGCAGTTGGCCACTTTCCCGTTCTGAGTCACGATCTCTTCCCAGAACCAGCTAAAAGTATAAAGTATGTTTTCTATACATGCTAATATCAGTACCAGCAGATGCTCCAAAGTCAAGGGTATAATTTGGCAGTGCAAATGGTTATGAGTGATTAATGTAGGTCTAAGTTTGGCCTCTGAGTCAAAAGGCTCCCATCAGTGTCTGCTACTGAAGTCAGTCATGTTGAAGTGTTAGGAATTATTTCTGAGCTTGTCTGCTTCTTTTGCTACATAGTGCAGGTTGCTTTTCCCAACTCAGAAGCCACAGATAAATCCCCAGACTACGGATTAAGATTGTGAACATGGAGATCTGTTGATTGGGTTCCTTTTTACCTGCTTCCTGCAATCCTTGTGCCCTTTTATTTAAAAAGTTGGTCAGGAACCACTGTGAGCAGTTGCTCCTGAAAGGAAACCCTTGTGTGCTCCAAGGTCACTTGGGCTTGTCTGAAGGAGGAGTCCAGGGAGCTGCAAAGCAGGACTTTGAGATTGAGAGACTTCTCTCCAGAGAAAGAAGTGAAGTGCCACTCCAGAAGAAATGAAGTGCAGCAAAGGGATGGGTGGGTGGGTGAGGAAGGGTAGCGATGCAGCGTGACTGTAGTGAGCGCAGCTCGGGCAGGGCTCGTGCCTGTAACCTGGGACAGTTCCTTCACTGGGATAAGCTGATGCTCTGGAATTCAGTAATGAAAGAGGAAAGGCCATACTGTGAGAATTTAACATTGTGTCAGACCATTTGATTTCAGCTGAAAATCTGGGGGTTTAATTTTTTTATTTTTTTTAGCATTTTGTACATGTTCACAATTCCAAAAAGTGCTGTATAAAACCAGCTGCTGTAGTAGCTACAAATTTTTTCATTTTTCAGGCCATGTATGTACAGATGCTTCTACAGCTAATAAATTTTCATGACTTCAGCATGACTGTGACAATTTACAACAGTTGACGTATATTCTATATTTTTTTCCAACAATGTGTTCATAGTGTTTGGGGGTTTTTTTAGGTGGCATGATATGAGATACGAGTGTGACCAATAAAAAACAATCATTTGCATTTATTTTTTTTCTCTTCACTAAAGCCACACTACAACCCATTAAAGCAAAGGATTGTGATTTGAAAAGGTTTCATACTTTGAGCTCGATGCTGGCTGTTTGCCCAGTGTTGATGAAGGACCTAAAATATCCAGTTGTCAGATGATGCCTAGAGGTAAAAAAACAAATGGAACTGCCTGTGTAAAGCTTCTTGATAGCTAATCAGAAAGGACTGAAAAAGGCATTCATAGGTCCCCTGTGGTGTTCCACCAAAAACTCGGAATAAAGCAGCTGACTTTGTAATTAAATTATCATTTGTTTCAATGTAAGTGCCAATGAAGAAATGTGATAATTGTAACATAATAGAAAAAAAACCAAACCATGAAATGGCTAGAAACCTTTTGCTGAATGTGGGAAATGTTTTTGATCTATAGCTATTCCATAAAAGTTTCTTTTTTTTCTTTTTTAGAAATATGAAATGCAGTCAGACCTGTGGCTTCCTAAACAGGTGTAGTATGCATGCTATTACTTGGTGTGTAATGTGTGATTGCTTCATTTTAATTTTTATTTAGTTATATGTTATTTTATAAGCTGTTAAAATCCATTCCTTTTAAAATGGCATACTTTTTAGGATCCTAAATTAATTTAACAGCTGAGGATTATAGCAGTGTCTGGGTAAACATTCAGATGGCAGCTTGTTTCTGTGGTAGTGGGAATCCTGTGACTTTGCATCACACGGAGGACATTCCACTGTCTCACTGACCGTGTCAGTGGTGGAAAGAGATACACACTTCCAGCGAGCAATTCAGCCCTTGGAACCGAAGCACCTCTCTGGGTTTCGGAGGCAACGTTCCCTTCAGTTTCCAATCTCTGCATTCAGTTCAGTAAGCGCTGAGATGACCAGCTGAATAACTACCTAACTCTTGGATGGTTAAAGGCAGATCAGACGAATCCCATTCCAAGCATGTTCTATATACTGTGCTGATTTTTTTCTGATTAAAAAATAACCTCACCAAATTAAAGCCAAAGGAGTTCAAAGATTAGAGGTCGTACAGCCTATAATTGGAATGCATAAGAATATTTCTAAATTCATACCCAGCACAATATGTTGAACTAATATGTCAGCAAATGATTCCATTTTCATAGCTTCAGAAGAGCTATCCAATAAATGGATGAAACACATTCTATTTGAAATACATTTCAGGCTTCATTTTGCAATGTGCAAATGAGAAATCATTTTTAAAAAAATCTATGCTTTTATAGCAAGCCATTTTCCTTTAATATTTCTGTGTAAAGTTAGACATGGAGAGATGGTATCACATCAGGCTACAATTTATGGTAAGACCTTGATTCAAGATATCACTTCAATGTGCTTATTTTTTCCAATTTTTTTAAATCAAAATCAGCGAGTGTTAAGCATGTACTCAGTAATGTGTTGCTGAGTCCAGACCATGGAAACATTTGTTCTCCTCATCACTGGTAGGACTTATCTTTGTCATTAGTTGTATGGGTGTAAAGGAATGTATCCTGGAAAGTCCCGCTGCCTTAGGGATCAGACTACCAGACCTTTCATTGGGAGGGGGGGTTTGCAAGGGCTGTAACCCGTGCTTTAGGACAAGATTGCACGATGGTAACTACTGGCATGAACTACATTTACCTTTAGCCATTTTTGTTAATCTTAACTGAATATATTTAAAATCTAAGGATTTTTCTGCAGTCATCTTATGAGCACAGCAACTACCAAAACCAAGGAGACAAAAAAACCTAAGCTAATATTTTGTTAAGAAGTTTAATGGGAAGTGTGACAAATTAACACAATCTTACATTTATAGAACGAAGAACCAGTTTTCTCCAAGGATGGCAGTAAGTTCTTCATGACTGTCCCAGTGAAGCAGGGAGGCCGGGGCGAATTTCACCACATAGCCATGTTTATTGTTCAGGTAAGGTTTTGGTTCAGGCTATTTTTAATACTCTAGTGGTCATCTAGAGTATCTTTTACGGAGGACACATGACTCAAGCAAAGGCTTGCGCTTCAGTAGAGTCTGAACACTTGTGTTGTGGTCATTTGTCCGGCCCAAGTTGTCACTTGGTGCAGAGGGACTTGTAATACATTTCTTGCAGAATAAGTGGACCGCTCTCTCTTTTCTTAGACCTCTGCAGTGATGGCACGTAAGGTCTGTAAATGAAAGGTACTTCCAAAGTACTCTCTCTGGAAGATTTCATGTTTTCTTTGTACCTCTGTAAACAAGCAGAGATGTTTTCTTGTTAAACCCTTCTGTCAATGATGTTTTATAGCCACAGAAATTCAAGAGACCTGCAGAAATGCTTCTTTTACCCTCTTTATATACACTGTATATGCATAAGTGTAATTTTAAATGTCAATTCAGAATATTCATGATTCTGGTCTCACACACCACAGTAAAGGGAGGCAGTACCCCAAATTCAAAATTTTGTGAAAATTGGGACTCTTTCATTACCCTTTGCAACATTTTCCAGTGGCTTCCATTTCCCAGGGTCACTGCTTTTTCCAAAGAACCTGAAAGAAGATAAATTTGCACTATGACTTTGAAGGTCACCAATATGAAGTTGTGATGAACTAATAAAGGAAATTATGCCCTGGAATGGAACACTCCAAGGCATCTCTTTAAATCAGCAGAGCATTAATCCAGGTACTTTAGCAGAGCCATATGACATAGGAGGGATTATCAAGGTACCCAAAACATCAAAATAGCAGACTTGGCACCAGGCAACTCTATTATCTCCCTTTATGACAGTGTGCTGGTATGAACATTATTAAGTCTGAAATATGTTCACAGTGTACTGCAGACAGAAAAGGAGCAAAAGAACTTTAATGAAAATTTATCCTGAAGAAGCAAGAACAAGGTACTCATTCACTAGAGTAAATATATCAAGAAAGAATCAGACAAGAAAAAAGGGATCAAAGACTTGTCAAATCCTATCTTCTAAAGAAAACAGTAACTCAGATGTCAATCTGGTAAAGGTGTATTAATATAGTAACCACACAAAAATTCACACTGAAACAAAACAAAATTAGTCAATCAAGCCTTATTTTGGTTTCTTTCCCAATATGAATAATTATCTTTAAAATACATTAAATGATAATGATGTAGATCTGAAAATTAACTTGGAGCATTCCCAAGGTTGTTACAGATAGAACCAAATATGCCTTACACCTGTAGGCTCTGATATTTTTTCACTACTAAAGAGCCCAGGGAACTTGATCCTAATTCAGGAAAATATTAAGCAAAGGATTAAGCCCACTCCTATTCAATGAGATAATTAAATAGATACCTACTTGTAAGTACATGTTTTAATCCCACCAGAATAATGTTTAAAGTCAAGCTTATGATTAGGAGTTTAGCATTCTATCCCTTTTAGGCAGAATTAGAGCCCTGGGTACTATACAGCTCCAAAAATACTTCTCTTTTGACCACCATCACCGTAAATAAACAAGTCTGAATGCTATCACCAATGACACATTTGGCTTTAAGTATGTAGCTGCTCCTGAGAAGGGGAAATGTGATATCCCATGTATCAACCACTATTCATCAATAAGCAACATACTGCATGGTAATGGGGCTGATACTGAGCAATAAAGGACAGGAAATGTGTTTATATGATGTGTTTTACACACTGCATTAATCTGATTGTCCATTATTTCTAAAGCAAACATGGAGGCATAAAAATTATATTAACCGTTGCACATAAAGTCTTTTGTCACATTGGATGTTTGTCACACCTTGTGAGAGCCACCGCAGCATAACAGGTGCCCTGCAGAATTTAAAGCAGTTGCCAGGTCGCCGGTACCCAGATGATGACAGTTTTTCGTGATGGAGCTCAGATAACGTTGGAATTTGGCATTCAGATTCTTGTTACTGCTCTGTACTACTCAGCACAGACATCAGCTCATTAACAGAAATCATCCTCCAAATGCAGGAAAGTTAAAACGCAGAACCAACGTGAACATTCAGTGACAAAGAAGTAAATTTTAATGGCTCGCTTTAGGTTAATTTAATCACTGAGGCTTATTTGTCAATCTTACAAGTGCTGGCAAATCATGGTCTTTTTTGGGCTGCATTTCTTTGACTGTACTTTGGAAAAGTGTCTGTCAATGATACAATCAAAGCAGGTTAGCAGAAGCATCCAATGAAACCTTGCAAGGGGAGGTTTCTCTTTAAAAGGTTACTGTCTATCCTATATTATTCACTGTCTGAATGTAGAGGGCTAGATGTGTGTTTTGTTGTTTTCAAATGCTTTTAGTAACTTGTGAAATATTTAAAAGAAACTAATCTCAAAATGGGATTGAGTTGTGTTATGTATCTAGAATTTTCTTACTTGGGGTTTTGCAACTCTAGAAAGCCTCTTTCTTCCAACCACAAAGTAAGAATTATAAAGTAACTTTAATGGATCAAGGCAAGAACTTCCTGCAAGCTTCATAAATTATGTATTATGACTGTAACCTTGAAAAATAACCATGTTTATTAACGCTTGGCTGGGCTCTTTATTGCTGTTTCTTGTTAGATTCTGTGATCTCAATATTTAAATATCTCTTTCAATAGTTGCAGCTTCTCTTTCTCTAGAGAAGAAATAGTCACTTATAATAAATCACTAATTTGTATTTTAATCATTCCTGGAGACAGCACTGAATATGAGAACTTTCCCGAACAAGGGAACTGTCATCATAAACAGATGTACAGCACCCAGCACAGCGTCCTGATTTCAGCTGGTACTTGCAAGACTTGTCATAGAGTTACATCATGCTTTCTATGTGGATCTGTTGGAGAACAGACCAGTTCTAAGGGACTTGTTTCTGCCTTGCCATTTCCAGACATGTCTCATAGGTGTCCTTGAGCATTTTCTGCTTTCTAGTTATTGCTGCTGTTGATGTAGAGCTCAGAGTTTACAAGATACGGTTCAGAAGTACAGGGATTAAAAAAAAAAATATTTGCCTTTATGAATTTTTGTAGGCCACATAACCACGGAGGCCACTGTGATTACATCTGGACTGCTGCTCCAGATTCACAGGGTGCAAGGCCAGAAAGCCCCATTGAGTCCTCCCTCTCACCTCCTTTGCGACTCCGGCTGCTCAGTTTCACCCACTAAAGCTGAAATATAAGCTGAAGTATCACTTCTTTTCTTTACAACATTTGTCTTGAATTTGAAAATTAGGAATTTTTATATCCCGGCCAAGCATCATAGCCCTAGTACAGAAAAAAAACACTCTTCAAGTATGTTTGTAGTTAAAGTTTTAATCTTCAGAAGCCTAAGCAAGAATTTTACCTTTTGCACTAGGAAGCACTCTGGAATGAGCTTCTCACTCTTCAGATTGCGTTCTTTTTAACCTGTGTCTGACGAGGAGTCTGCTGCAGCTTCCAGCCCAAAGAGTTTGGTTTTACCTAAAGATAGATATGCATTGCATCCTGACGTTTCTGAATTCAGTTCCTGGTGCATTGGCTGAGAAAACTGCCGTCACTTTCTTTGAGAGAGTTTTTGAATTTTCCCTTCCGGCAGTTATTTTCCTAGGCTCGCACTGGCATAGAAACAAGTTATGAGCAAGGGGTGCTCCCCAACTTGTAAGCATTTGCCAACATTTGGAGGCTATTCTTACACTCTCCTTATAGACCCTGGGCAAAGAGAGGCTTCTCCAGAGTGCCTGGTGGCTTTAGCTAGGTTTAGATCCTGTTAACTTCTGTGTCTGAGTTTGTGCGGTGCATTTCTCGTAGAGGTTTGCCTGCCTTCTTGGATGAGGGTGATGTTGGTGTCCTGTCTTGGCACAGCATCGTAGTAGGTAGTCTTGGCTCAGTACAAGCATGTGATCAACATGAAAGTTTGGTGAGCACACTCTGGGGCAGAGTTTTGGTTACAGGGGTCTGAGTTAGACTCCTCTGCTATGCCCCTGTAAAGGAAAGGAAACCCTAAGAGAAACAGAACTGGAAGTATTGTCTGTTGGCATGTGGGCAACTGAAAGAAAAATTGTGATGGAAACAGAGATGGGTTTAATGACTTTGAAAAGTTTATGTATGGGAGGGAGAGGATACTTGAAGTTCAGGCCTGTCAAAATGCGAGGTTTGTGATTTAAAGATGTTATGTTGCACGTTAAAGTTTAAAAAGATGTAATCAGTAATGACATGCAGACAATCCTGCTAGGCAAAGAAAAATGTACCAAGTAAAGGGAAAGTTAATATTTTCCATCTCTCTCCAGGCTAAAAGTGAACAAATCAGTGTGAGACACCTGACATCAGGAAACTGGGAAGTTATCAAAATCCTGGCGTATGATGAAAATACTCAAAAGATGTAAGCCCTGTTCTCTTTGTTTATGAAAATATCTGAGTTATTGAAGTGGAATACATTTAACTGGAAATAGTGTATCTAAAATTAAGGAACAATATTTCTTTCTTTTCTGAGCATTACCATAAATTTTACACTCCCAAATACATAAAATGCAGTTGTCAGACAATTTATCTGCCAGTGTATTACTGCATGTGTTTATATGCAGAGTGAAAAGGAGCATACCGTGACATCAGTTGACTCACTGTATTTTTTAAATAAAAGAAATCAACACACAATACAGCAGTAATAAGATTTTGGTGGCCCTTTCCTGGATTCCAGAAAAGAAATCATAGCAAATTTTTACTTGATAAAATCCTTGAATCTTCAGTTTTCGTGATTGCTAGGTTACTGCATGAGATCTCGGGACTTTGGGGATCTGATTCAACCTCATAAATTCAAATTATATAGAGCTATTATCCAAACCCCTGATTTTCACCCAGATCACTCAGAGAGAATCTTTCGAAAGCCCATCTTGCACTATAGTGGGAAGGAAATGCAGCACATACTTGGTGATTTTGGGGGGCAGCAAAGAACTGACACAAAACATCTGAAGGCCCCACATCACTTCAGTGGATCTTGGTTAGTCTTCATGTATATCTAACCATGGCAAAAAAATAAACAGATGTGTCTAATTCTGATACGCTTTAAAATAAATGGTGTTTCAGCAAGGACCTTTTTGGGGCTGCAACAATGCCTGTCATCTCCACTGGTACTGGAGAAACACCCTTTCTGACCAATACTTCCATGGGTTTTGAAAATATATCTGTGGAGAATTTCTTGATACTTCTCCAAGGTTCAGGTAAAAAGATGAGGTCTGGATGTGCTCAGCCTGCAGAGAGGTGGCAGATGGCTGTGGGTTGTCTCTGCCACTTCAAAGGACTTCCTTACCCTCCTTCTGCCTCTCAGGCAGGAACTTTGTGGGCATCACATCTGGGACACACCAAGGACTTGCCTTGATGTCCTTGTATAAGCTCTACTAAGCCTCTTTGTACCCACACAACCTTGTCTGTAAACCATTGCCTAGGGTGCTAGCTTCTGTCTCTAGCTAGAAGAAAAAGCCATACTACAGCTCAAAGGGGATTTGGAATTTATGATATAGTTTCTTTGTAACCTTTTTCTATGCCTTGGATTTATATTGCAAACTCTTGGAGTGAAAGAGAAACTTTCTCCTCTATTTGTAATATGCAGAAAGGGGTCCTGGTTGCTACTGGAGCTCCTGGGCACTACAGGAATTAAACAGGAGCCATGAAAAACCATTTTCATCACTGTTTTAATATTAAATCATATACCATCTGAAATAACTACTCCGTATGCTGGGTCCAAGTTTAATTGTGGAGCTTAGGTTTATATGTATGTATTTGTTTGATCTTCATGTATATTTGGGACTTTTAATTTTTAAAAATGTTATTTATGACATCTCTCACTTCTCTAAACACCACCCAAATCAGACGGTGTACCAAACTGAGTTTAACTTTGTTCATCTTTTGGGCACAGTTATTTCTTAAGCACTGAAGAATCGCCAAGAGGAAGACAGCTACATAGGTAAGAAGCATATGGGGCTGTGTTAACAGCTTCTTCAGCCCAAGCCATAAGCGTTATGATGACATACTGTGAGCTTAATTGCTGCTTTGGGGCTTGGGTAATCATTTATATTATGTAAAAATTAGTACATTTGAACTGTAACAAGGAAAGAATCACAGTTTTTCAAAACTAAAAATGCCAATGATATTTTACATTTTTTGAAAAACGGAAAAGATTTGAACACAGAATGTTTTTACCGCTTATGCCTTCTCTAGTCCTTTATAAGCATCTAAAAAGGTAAACCTAAATGCAAGCATCTAATATGACTGTATTTTTAAAAGTAGTGAAAATCTTCTAAATAAAAATAATATTTATGGAGTCTAATCATGCATTTTAAAGTGTGTGAGCAAAGCACCCCCTCCTTATACAAACCTCAGTGCTTAAATCTGAAGTTAATGAGGCTTTTCCTGGTGTCCTACTAACATTGCTACCCCCCAGCACTGCTGGTTATTGGAACGCCAGTCCTGCTTTGGGCAGGTTTTGGATCCTGTCCACATTGCCCACTTTACAGAACAGTAGTCCCCTGAGTCATCTGAAAATATTTTGCATCAGGCACAAAAGAAGACAGTTATATTTTGTTGAGTTTAGGGACTGAAACAAGTTTTATCAATCTTATGATCTAATTCTTGATTTATTGTATTTTGTTCCAATGGAAGATGTTTCTGATCAATTTTTTCCCCAGTGTATCAACAGTGGGATCATTGAATCGTCAGTGTCTCTCATGCAACTTCTTGAAAGACCAGTGCACATACTTCAGTGCAAAGTTTAGCCCCATGAATAGGCATTTTTTACTGCACTGTAAAGGTAAGTCAAATGCACAGGATGTAATAGTACTGTGTTTGCTTCTGAATTAATATATTCCCTTGAGAAGTGCATTAGGCTGGAGTCTAACATTTAGCACAGTAGTGGATTACTCAAAGTTCTGTACAGAGCTTATTGCAAGACTGTAAGTAAAGATGTTCTGTGTAAAAGCTAAATAACAAGTGATAGCAGAAAGCTGCTCCAATCCTAACCCTTCAGTCCTACTAAAGGACATTGCCTTTTAAATTTACCCTGAATAAAAATCCTTCACCAAAAAATGTGAAATTCATAGTGATGCTACTGTGGTTCGTAATAGCTTCATTATAGTATGTATTGGGATTGATCTTGTGCATCTATGCCTAGTTAAAAATGAGGGCCTGCTTTCTGTAACACTGTGTCTCTATGTGTGTATAAATGTATGCGTATAGTATATCTATACACACTCATATATGTGTGTGTATATATATGTGTATGTGAGTATCTACCAAAAAACAAGTATGGTTTAATCCACATAGGCAGATCCTCTTTATCAATAGAATTACAATAAATAACTTCTAGCTTTTTATTGTTAGCTGCATTCCAGTAGCACTAAATGACACCAATTGGGTTCAAGAGCTGGTATGTATAAACAGAAAACTGGAATCATCCCACACTGAGAAATTTATAACCTACACCCAGGAAATAAACACTGATAAAAAAGATTATAAAAGCAGGTTGAGAAAAGCACAAGACAATCAATAATAAAGTGTATAGCTAGACCTGTTGACCTTGAAACTCACAGTATTTTACAGACAATGTTCTCCCAGTATTTTTGCTCAACTAGCATCAGATTGAAAACAGTAGAACACAATTCATCTGAAATACATGTGAATAGCCCATTCTATTTGCATGCATCTTTTCTATTTCTTTTGCAACTGTACTTCTTCTTTGCACAAAAATAAAATATCTCCCTGCTTGAGAATTGAATCTATTCAAACAAACAAACAATGAATATATATTGGCTAAAATAAGGTTGTGGTTGGCTTTGGTTTTTGGGGTTTTTTTTGTGGAAGTGCACCAGTAATACATAGCTGATCAGAAAAAAAATACCAACTGTATGGTTTATACATGGTTAAAGCTGTGGCACAAGTTATAGAGCTAATCTTGAGGCCCTTATCTGAGTAAAGACTGCACTAGTAATGAGCTCCCTATGGTTTAAGCAAGGTTTTCCCTTGTGCTTGACATAGTCCCTATGGGGAAGTCTCAGATTCCTGCAAGAGGGAGAGTTGGTAAATTGGGAAGAGTTTTTTGCCCAGCAATGTGCTAGGGCCCAAAAATGTAGCTGCTGCTGCTTATTTTAGCAAAGTACATTCAGCCTGTAATTTTTAATGTGTTCCTTTGATATAAAAATGTGGATGCCAGTAGGAGGTTGCCTGCAAAATTGCTCACAAGCTCATGGATTTCAGTGACTTTGGAGATGGCAGCTCTCTGCTTGAGCCAGTAAGACTGCAGAGCATCCTCCTAGGATTAAACCTCCACTCCACTGAGTTGCAGCCAGTAGGCTGCCCTAAGCTGCAGGTGTTGGGCAGGGCTGATAAACCACCGTCATTAAGTTTTCCTACCTCTGACATTAATGTATAGTTGTCAACTTGGGGTTATTCAGAGGTGCTCTCTTGTGTTTCGTCAGAGCTTGACAATTACGGCAGCAGCCTGGGCCACGTGTACTGCCACAGCTCTGCAAAATGCCTGTGGTGGGGCAGATATGTGACGGTATCAAAACTGATGGCAACGTCACCACAGAGCAGATATTAAAACTCTTCTGTGGGGAGCTGCTTGTTAAGAGTGCAAGGTAAAGTGCTCCAAGGAGACAGATGACACCACACCTACAGGCCTACACACTTCTTTTCCAAAAACAAAAAGCCTGACTGAATTGTTACTGAAGCAATTTGCCCAGAAAAATCCTTGGGGGACTCTGGACTGGTTTGATCTACACCAGCTTCAATTCTTCCACCCCCTGTTTACCCGTGAGCACCTTTATTAGGATAGTTTTTCCTTCTTAGTTACCCTCAGCCAGAAAACCTGTCTCGGTATACCAGCAGTATCCATCTCCAGAGACTCTCCTGAGGGAGGAGTTATTTCTAGCCTGGGAGATGGAGGACCAGCCTCTCACTTTTGGCAAGCGTGTCCTTTATACGTATTTTCCGCACTGCTTGCAGACTTTTCCTTTAGCACCTCTTAAACAGTAACCAATGTTAATCTCTCCACTCAAATAAGGTAATTCACAAAGAGAGTAATTTTTTTTTTCCCATTTTGTACAGCAGGAAATAAGTTATGGGTTTAGTGTTAGTTATAGCAGATCAATGGGAAATCCAAGTGCTGTGCTTAGTTGTGATGAGCTATAATGCAATGCCTGTAACACAAGTCTCTTTCTCTTTTCTGATCGGCTTTTTAATCTACTGTAATCTCCCTTTCTCAAAATGTGTCATCATCCTTCCATCTTTCAGTATGCCTAATAGACCTGGCCTGGAAAATGCCAATGCTTTCACCTCCAAAAACTGTCTTTCTGAAATCAGAATTCAAAGCAAAATGACAAATTCAGAAGAAGTAAAAAGAGCTGGAAAAACAAAACAAAACAAAGAGACAGCTGAAGAAATTATCTTTTGAAGAGCTAAGGCAGAAAGCTTTGATTTGTCAGCAATCTACCCGTAAGATTTTTGTCGATGTTCTCCCTTGAGGCAGAGGATGAAATAGATAAAAATCTTCAGTGGAGGCTGTCAGAGGCTGTGAATGGCATCATGCTATTTATTTCAGGCATTTAAGTTTCCCTAGGCTCATGCCATAATTAATTGAGAGAGACAGCCTCCTCAGGATGACTCAAAACACATAAATTAAGCTCTGTCTCTGAACTACTCTCAAAGGGAATTTTATGTTCTCCAAAAAAAAGAGGAGTCTGAACTCCTAATTGTAGAGGGTCCGTGCCTTCATCTGCCATGGGGTCCTCAGGGACTTCAGCTTTTCTGCATCATGCTTCCTACCCCAACAGTGGCTGCCTGGATGTAATTCAAACTCTTGCCTCACCCAGATAAAACTAAGTTTCCCATGTATAAATTTCATGTTGGGGGTGGGGACACAACATTTTCTTGTCAAGTTGACACCAGTGGGAGTCCTCAGAGCAGGGACAGTGATCTCAGCTACGCTTCTGAGTGTGCTGAATGTTTGATCACCCCAGTTCCAGGTGCCACCTTGTGCACTTACATGGAGAATTATTCTTGCTGCTTTTAGTTTCTCAGCAGTACAGTAAAAATATAGCATCTGACATTACCATGAAATAAGGTAAGATTACATTACGCCTAGATTTAACTGTGATGCTCTTGGTCTTCCAAGACCAAGTATCTGAGATACCAAAGGAGTTTCTTAAACAGATAAGTGAAATATGTGGTAATTTTTCAACACCTCTGTAGCTTTTCCATACAAAACTTAAGTGAATATTATCATTAATTCACTTCCCAGTCAACCTAGAGTTACTGTTTCTGAAAGTCAAACTGCTATATTTTAGACAATGCCATTAAGTGCCTTGTAATTTTTTTATTCTTCACTTCTAGCTAAAACATGGCAATTAAAAAAAAAAGCTCCTTCTAGGTGCAGGGTCTAGAGTCCTTGCTGAACAGGCAGAAGGCAGGCTCCGTTTCACATTTCCTTGGTACCGCAGTCTAGCCTGTGTCCTTCCCAAGAGACACCGGGGGAGTTACTGCTGTGTTTGAAGGGAAGCGTGTCTATGGGGCTGCCCGGATCTGGCCTGACATGGTCACTGGTGTTCTCCTTTGTTACTGACCGAAATACCGAGCGCTAACTACCCTACACTCTTCCTCTGTTTTTCTTCTCTCCTCAAAACAGGCCCAGGCGTTCCGGTTGTTAGCGTGCACAGTACAAGTAATACTGCAAGTGAGTACGCCTTATGGGATGGATATATTTTATTATCGTCCTTGATTGTTCTGGGGAGCGTGGGGGAGGGGAAAGGCAGTTCCAAGTAAATGAAGACTAATAGATGGCTCATTCATATAAAGTTCTATTAATTACCTTTTAGCAACATCCACATCTGCAAATGATAAAGAAAGAAGTTAATCAAATGACTAAAACTTTCCCAGGCTTTTCAGATACGTTTTAAGCTAAGTGCATATCATTCATCTTCTGTTTACACTTGAGTTAATTAGATGGCAGGTTGGTCTTCATCCATTTCACTTTCTATGTAAATTATGCAGCCATTATGATACACCTTCTGTATTTTTAGAGATGTTTTTAAAGTTACAATCAAATTATCTTGAAGTAAGTCTTTGGACAATTGATCATGAAATCTGACCTACATACAATGAACTTGGTCATTGTCTTACATTTCTCAAATCAGAGCAACTTCACTGACATTTTCAATGAAGGCAAATCAGTAGGAGGATATTCAATACTTCTAATTTTCAAGTTTTATTCATTGCTTTCTCTATATTGACACCAAATCTGTTGCTGTTTCCTGGCTGCTTGAGGTGCTTTGTAATGAAAGACTGTCCTTTAATAGCAGAATTTCCCTCACTTGGGTATTTCTCTGGTGCGGTAGAGGGAACAACTCTGCTACCTCCAACTCCACTGTGGCTCCACGTAGCATGAAGGTGTGAATTAGAGGAAAGGGGACATCTTTCCATTCAAATCGACTAAACCAATCCTTACCTATTCTAATTTCATTCAATATATTATCCCCAGAATTTTCCCCAGAATCCCTGAACTGTACTTGTCTTCATCCCTTTTGTCATGGGCCAGCCACTACTCAGCCATAACAGTGGATCTAATGTTGCATGTTAAAGTAGCATACTGATCAGTAGTGTCATGCTATCAACTGTTAATTAGTGTTCGCACTTTGGCCTCCTCTTTTTTTTTTTTGTTGATGTCACCACTGATATTATTAGCAAAGCTGAGTGCTATAGCACACCAAGGGGAGGGACTTTTATCCAACTCAAGAAGGCGTGGCTATTACTGCTCAAACTACATTCGTTGACTTCTGTAGAGCTACTCAATTCTGTGAAGGTTGACTTTTACTCATTATTACTTGTATCTAAAATGCTGTTGATAGTGAATTACTGTAAAAGAGATTTACATACAGCATCTCAGAGGAAAACAAAGCAAGTCAGGATAGGGGGACGTTGTTTCTTGTAACAACAAGAAACCAAATAATAAGAGAGATAATTTACGATTAATGTTTCAGTGCAAGATTAGATTATCCTCTTCAATTCATAAAAGAATGATTAAGGATTACTTCAATTATTCCATCCTCAGACTATAATTATACCATTTTGGTTGACTGCCCAGAACAAACATTCTCCTTAGATTATCCGTTTGGCCCTAAGTGGAGGGCTTATTGTTTAATAAAAAAAAATCTACATTTTGGAAGCAAGATTGGTAATTTGAGTAAAAAATAAAATTAAAAAAAACCTAATTAAACATTCTTTCATGTGTAAAAGGATTGTTTCAAATCTGTCTGCAGCTTTAAACCAAACTGAAGTCTTCCTCCTGGTTGAAGTGCAGAAGACGGAGGACGTGCAGTGATCAAGTAGAGCTGTGCTGGCTAAATATTGACTTGGAACGTGTAGCTTGAAAAGCATGCCTGCTTGAGGCTTAAGATCTTGCCCAGCAGACCAGCCTTTCTCTGTAACAGCTGCTGTTAGTATTTGTCAGGGATACTAGTATTCCTGTTGCTCATCAGCAATTTTATTGTTAGTGCTTAAAGGAAACAAAGCCTACTGAAGCCAGAAAATGGAAGAGATGTATATGTTTTGAATTACGCTGATTGCTCAGTTCCTGAATTGCAAAGCAGTTGCATTATAAAAAAAAGTATTTACAGAAGGAATTCATTTACAAGATTTATCATTGCAAATTTCTGTCTTTTTCTTTAATTTTTTTGAATCTTGATTTATCTCTGATGATGATACTCCATACCTTTCAGCTTGCTTTTTCTTCCTGTTTTCTACAGAGTTTTATATTTTGGAAAATAATGCTGTGTTGAAAGAAGCTGTTTTTAAGAAAAAGAATTCCAGGACTGAAATTAAAATGCTTCACATTGAGGATTACGGTAAATTTGGCAAAATGTTATTTTAAGAAACCAAAAGCTTTCTTGCAACGTTACTGTTTTTCATCTGTGTAACTACCAGCCTTTAATGTTTTGCTCTTTTCTTAAAAGAACTCCCTTTGCAGTTGTCACTGCCAAAAGATTTCACGGATCGAAACCAGTATGCCCTTCTATTAATAATGTAAGTATCTGTGTAGAATCACTCAAAATAATAAAAAAGTACTTCATAGAAAACATTTAACTCTGTAATTAGAATTTTTTTTTTTAATCTCATGTAGGAAAATTAGTTCATGGATTTGAGTTGATAAATCAAAAGGCTCGTTCTTGAGAAGATTTTGTTATAGGTGCTATCTGGTAGAGACGCCTGGGGTTTTTGAGCTTGTCAAACCTAGCTCTGCTTCATTGTACTTTTATGTACATGAGGCACTGGCCCTTCTGATGGTGTAGCTGTGAGTAATTCTGCAGTCTTTCCTGGACCCATACTGGTCCCTACCCACAGAGGATCTGAATCAGAGCATGTGCTCCTTTCTTTTCCCTTTTTATCCCTGATAGAAATGGGTACAGCTTCTAAGAGGGGCTCAGTTAATATGCATAAAGCAAAACTGCTTTTAGGAACACTGGAAAGAAGAAAAAATTATTTTTGAGCATCAATGGCTGAAGGCTTTATAGACACGATCCAAAGTCTGTTGATGTTTGTAGAATTCTGTGGGAGGAAGGAGGTACTCCCTGGCAACCTGCGCTGTTCTTTTAAAAAGAAACAGTGCGTGTATTTCTTTCAGAGACAGGCGGCCTTTAAGTTGCACATCTACAGCATGTGTAGCAGAGGAAGAGAGCAGTCATGAGCGTACCTGCAGCCTACCTAGGAAAACCAGTGACGGCCAGCTCAGGGCATCATTCGTTGCTCTACACCTGAGCTCAGCATGGGTCTGCCGTGGATGTAGAGGGCTTTCCTGTGCCTACAGATCTTCTTCCAGTCCCATTTGGAATGCACTGATGTGAATTTCACAGGTGTAGGAGTGCACTGCTAATTTCATGAAAATACTGCGTTAGCTGAGCTGTTTCACCTGGAGTAGACCTCCCCTTAGTGACGGCAGAGATCCTTATTGTATGAGGACAAATTTGCAAGCTTGAGCTGCTGAGTGATCCCAAATTCCTCTACTCAGAACAGATCTCAGATAATAGGACAGAGGCATAAACCTGCTTATTTCTAAGTCCAGTTTGTGTTTAAAACTCAGGTTTTTCAGTTGTATTTATCTGCAGTTGTTGAGGCTTTCTGCTTTAAGTTGCTCGTGAACACATTTTTCTTTTCTTATGGAGAAACAGGGCACAGGGATTACTTTATTTTTGCAGTATTTCCTAGCATGATCTTGAAGCATGATTATATTTTAAGCATCTCTTCTAAGTGTGCCAGAAGCAAACCTACTCTGTGAATTGACACCAGCAGCATTTTGCAACTGCTTGCACTTATTCTTTTTTCTGAGTAAGGAGACACTAAGGTGTTAGCAGTGTAACGCTTTCCTTTTTAAGTATCCTAGTAAATACATAATCTGCTATATGCAGTTATGGTAGAATATGAGGTTATATACTCATGTAGAACCTAGAGAAGACAGGAGGGAAGGACCAGAAACCTGGAGAAGGCCAAGGCCAAAAATGACAGGAAGAGGAAAACAAAGCTAACGAAATACTATTATGAAATGGTTTTAGATATCACGAGTTGAAATTAGAACAGTATTGAGGCAAGGTCTGAATTTAAACTTAGCAAAGTTGTCAGTAGCCAGTGAGCAAATAATGTGGCCAATTCATAATGTATAGATATGTTTTATAATTGTTTTATTTTTTTATGATGTGCATGTGGGATAAAAAGGGAATTCATCCATTTATGAATACAGACTGTGGTATCTGCATTTATAATATGAAGTCTTTGCTTCTTTTTAGTCAAATCCTTACCCTTGCAATACTGAATTCTCAATGTTAGCTTCAACAGCAGTTATTTTTAGAAAACCCTATACACTAATGAAAGTATGAAACTGAAATTTTGAAATCTGTCCTGGCTCATGTAACGTTGCATGTGTTGTGTCCCTCTCTTCCCTAGAAGAGAAAGAAGTTCTATTTCTTCAGCAGCTTTTTACAGACATTAAACTAAGGTTGCCAGCAATCCTTTTTCTGAGTTAAAGATGTCCCCAAATGAGATATAAAACTGAAAACTGTCACTGAAGTTATGGGAGGCTCCCTTGTGGGATGATTATTTGAGCCTAATAAATTCTGCCTAGCTCTTGAGAAAGAACGATTGAAAGTCTGTGTGCATGCAGAGGGTAATTTGTTGACCCACACAACTCCAAATTGACATCTTAAGGTTTATTTCATTATCCGAAGTACTGCTTCAAAAAAAAAAAAAAGTATTCAGGTTCAAGAAGAACATGTACCTTTTACAGGAAACACTGATTAGTTGTATATATGGTATCATTTCCCAGATATTTGACTTTCCTGAGTCCCAGAGTGGCACTGTTGGGACTGATTCAGAAACACCCTGTTCCTGCTGCTAGAAGCGTTAGACGGGAATTGTATTTGTGGCTGATAACAAGCGCTGCCTTTCACATCATTCAGCTGCACTACTTTCTTGCTTACATTCTCAGCCATGATACAATTATCATTATGTTCCAGCTATTGAAAGTTTGAAAAAGAATGCTTACCATTGTCCTTGGTAAGAATGTTGGCTTAACTGTATATCCGTTTTTTGGAAAGGAGATTCTATATAACATCTTGATCCCCGCAACATTCACTTAGTTGTATATAAAGAGAAGTTATAGAGCTGGGAAAGTGAAGTATTAGCAGATATGAAGTGGCTTTTGCTTTCTATCTCGGTAGTACTGCAGTTTGACAAGGACTTAAGAAAAAGAGAGGAAGGGAGGGAGGGAAGGAAGGAAGGCGAGGAAAAGAGAATGTGAGTTTAAACCTGAAATTCACCTAATATGGCTCTGCAGTGCAAATGAAATGCCTAGTTAAGTGCATATAAGCTTTTAAGTGCATCTAGGCTTTGTCCCCTAAGCTGGAGGGTAATTACGGCATATAGGACCTAGCATGCTCTGACTGGCTGTTTGGCTGCAGCGGTTGCTTTAGCATCACTCTAAGCCTCTGCTTAAGATTCGTCTTCTCTGTGTCTTAGTTTTGCCAGGGTCTGGTTTGTCTGTGTGGTCTCATCTGTGCCTGCAGAATTTTTGTGCTGGTGGCTGGTTTCACTGGCTGAAAGTAAAGTGGGCTTTCGATGGCTGAGGTTCATAATTTTACTGTAAATTTTCATCAGCAGTGACTGCTTCTGTGTGGTGTTGATGTGCTCTCTGGATCAATATGGTTACAATCATGATAACAGAATTTAGAAATAGGTAAAGGGGAGAAAGTTTGTTATTATTTGGTACATTTTTTTTTCAAATCACTGAAAGCTAGTAGCCATTTCAAAGGTGTATGACTATAATAAGGCTCGTGTATTCATGCAAGGATGCCCACAGATAAATTTGAACTTCCAGCACATGGCACCCAGGTGTCTTGAGTGTTAAGGCTGAGTCCTGGTAGGGAGCCTGGACCAGTGGATTCTGGCCCTGATGTGAAACCTGGGTGTGAACTCAGTACAGTTCCGTTTAGACACAAGCTGAACTTAAGGACCAGGCCCTGAATATCCTGCAACCCTCATCATAAGGATTTTGTGAAGATGCATCCATTGGCTGTTGCAAAGCATGCTGCAACGTTCAAGTAGAAGATCATGGTATTTCTTTGTAAAAATTCATGTCCATCTGTATGGCTGGACTAGCTAACAGGTAGGTCTCATGTAGAAACCAGTTATATTGGCAAACACTATTTTTCTTTCCAGAATTGTGATGCATAGGCCATAAAATGCTAAATAGATTATAACACTCGTCTTTCTTCCATTTGTTCTCCTAAACCATTAATACATTCCACACTCAGTTTCCTTCTGATATAATACATACAGTGTAGCTATAGATTAGAGATGTACAGTAATTGCCTGAAAGAGTGATTACCATCACTTTTCTATATAATTAAGATCAAAGTTTAAATTTCAGATCCTTGATTTTCTCATTATGGTTCACCTTACTCATTAAAAAAGTTGGAAGATACACTCCTCAGTAACACACAGGAAATGATTAAGTAAAGACTCTGGCATTTAATTTGGATAATAAAATGAGAGGTAATAATCATTCTTTATTTTTTCTTGAACATAATTAGCCTCATTCCTTCAAAATCTGGAGATAATGTATCTTAAATGTCAGCATTTATTATTTAATGCCATTTAAAATTGTCCAGTATGTAAGTGGATATTGTAAAACTGAATCAGTGGAGAGATTGTTCTGATCTTTGAGAGGAAAAAACCCAACAGGTATTCTCCAACGTAACAGTGAATTGTCACCAAGAGGTTTCTGTTTGTTTGTTTGTTTACTTGTTTTCTTCTATTTTGCTAATAAATGGGAAGCACTTCACCTGTTACTGAAATGATGAAAGTTTTAGCCCTTGCACAGGCAATCAAACCTGTTTATACCTCCAGTTAATACACTCTTGGGACTGATAGCAAGGTAAGACAGTAGGGTTGGAAGTGAGGATTTTTTTACAGTTTCGGGAATAACTCATTAAAAGACTAGAAGAAATGAAAAGAGGCATAATGCAAGTACTGGGAAATATTTGAGATCTGAGCTACAGTAATAGTTTGTGTATCACTGGCTGTCTTGCCATTTTCATTTGTGAAGGAAATTACTCATTTTAACTGGCAGCTGTTGCAAGGGAAGGAACAGTGCTTGGCTACCTGGTGAAGTGTAAAAATATGCGGTGGATTCCACTACTTTGATTGCACTATGCTTGCAAGGGGGACATCCCTGAAGGCCTTTTTGTTTGGCCAGTTCTTCCTCTGTAGAACAGCTGCAAAGTTCTCAAGGCCTAGAGGGAGAATTCATTTAGCTCAGGCTAAAAGAGGGATAGGCTGGAGGCTCACACCAGCTGTTTTGTTTGCAGAAGCGGTCCTGGTGCTGCAGGCAGTGATGGATCTGCTAACTCCCTTTCTCTTCAGTCTTGTCCCCAAAAAAAGTCTTGGGGAATCGTTGAGCTAAGATCCATCCTCTTTCAGCCTGCCCTGCTCCCACTTCCCCCACAGCAGTACATATCTTACTAAGTAAAGAAAATTCTCATTTAATCTTCCTTACAAAAAGACAAGAGGAGATTCAAAACTTCCACCTCCTTTTCTGATGGCACAGGACAGTGTTACACCACTTGTTCTCAAAATTGCATTTTCAAAGCCTCAGGGGTTTCAGAAAGATATTTTAAGAATAACAATTTTATTTTTTTGTCCTATGCTGTCTACTTCAGTCCTGTCTATCACATGATTCTACCCTGCTAATGGAATCGCTTCTGGTGATGTGTTTTAATTTGTTTGGCCAGATCTGCAGGGAGGAGTTGTCAACACGCTATCTGTTTTTAGTTGCAGTCCGCTATATCTAAACAGGGTATGTGAGCATTGGGGATTTTCTGTTCTCAGTGTTTGAGGCTATTCAGGTTCCCTGATTTTTGACCAGTAATGATGGGTGCGTTTGAAAGCTGATGCTTGTGAAAGAGATGCTCTTGAAATATGAAAATGAAGTGGATTTTTCTATTAGGCCAGTTTTGCAAAATGGTCCTCCTTCCCCACTCAGTTTCACCATAAGCAAAAGATGACTTTTATGAGTGATATTTCTTTGCATGGATTTTATCCTCTGAGTTGTAGACTTTCTCACATATTAGCTACCAAGATACCTTTTCCATATGCTGCATCGAATCCACTGTTTTGCAGAAATAGAAAAAGATGTACCGGAAACTAAGCAGTGATTATAGCAATTATTTGCTGTGTATCTTTTAAAATTGTTTCCCCCGCTGCTTTGTCAGCCCTATAACTTCTGAATTTCCTATTTAAAGTCTTGCCACTTAGTTTTTAAATGGTGCAAAACCTGGAACAAATTTTGCTGCAGTCATGATATCAGAGTGGCAGAGGAGTATTGCTCAGAGTACAGCGGCAATAGCCTCGCTGGTAACACTGTGTTATTCCTTGTAGGCTGTGATTCAAGTCAGGAGCAGAGCCTTTAGTTTAAGCTTTTGGTTATAGAATCTGAAAGAACAGATTCTTCTCTTTTCAACAATACGTGAAGTTACGACGAGCTGCCCCATTTTCCAGACAGTCTGAGATGTATGTGACTGCCTTGCAAGAAGCGTACAAATTACCCACTAAGGTCAACGATATTGGTATATTATTGATGGCTTCTGTATATTTAAATGGTACCTCAATGGCGAACTTCAGCGGTACGCCCAAGCCATCAGCAGTTGCGCTGCCGCGGTGGATTCATAATCCGGGTGTAGTCACTGTCGAAGACACACACTAGTTGAAAGTTAGGAATAAAAATACAAAATGAAAAGTGCAAGTGCTGTCACTTACAAGGAATAAAAATGAATCAGGAAGAATTAGGCAGAGTCTTCATTTGAATCATTCCGCTCTTGTACAGTTTTGCTGTCGTGCTTTGGCTAGTCCGTGGTTCCCGTATGGCCATCCATAGTCAGGTGGGAAGATGACTTCTGCGTTCGTATTAGACCCAAGCATAAATGTCATGGACTTTCTTCCAGGCTTACTAGTGGGGTCAAGAAATAATTCTATGAAGAGAGTACTACTGAACAGTAGTTAATTATAATTAGGCTGTAAGTAGCCATGAGCATAAAACAAAAACTCATCTTTGAGATAGCTGTAATCCCAGGATGAACTTCACAAATTGGGCTGTGCATCTATTATTGAACTGTAGTATCAAACTCAGGGTGATGTCAAAACTTGCATGACGGATTAATACTTTGCAGAAGCCTCATTTAAAAGGTTAAAAGTGGGGCCTAAGTGGTGCATAGAATATATGCTGTCTCTCTGTGGAGGACAGAAGCACACCTCAGATAGATAATCAGTATCATTTTATAGTAGCAGCTGAAGAGTAAAGAGACCTTTTGATGCTAATGGGAATTTTGACATGTACCTCAATGGAAATGGCTTTAAATGCCTGTCACAGACTACTTATATGGACATTCTTGAAATTAATTAGCCACTGGAAAATTGCTTCCAAAAGCAATACGTCAAACAACCCATCATGCAGGAGCGGAGGATGTATAGTGTTTAAAGTCTGAGCCTAAAAGTAGCCCAGCTATGCCCTCCAGAGAAGGAGCTTGGGAAAACATCAGTCAGCTCTCGCCCACTGAGAATGTTGCTGAGCTTCTATCTGTTGCTCCTTTCTTAATAGGAGAAATCATCTGAGGTGATCATCTTTCATTTAAAACCCTTTTTGGTTTTAAGCACTTTCTGGTATAGAGAAGGGCTCACAAATGTAACAGTTCTTCCCCTATTCCCAAGTGTCTAGATAAATAACATATATATATATATATACACACACACACAAGCGTATATAACCTAGATATATAACATGTATAAAACAAATGCAAACACTGTATTTGTTTTGTTCTCATATTAAGTAGGAGGGAAGCAGGCTGAATCATATATTTTCACCTGAGTGCATTAAACTGTTGGAAAGCTACCTAGCCAGACAAGGACATTTCTGACATAGTATCTTATTGTGGAAAGTTGGAAGAACTTACAAAAAAAATTATAACTGGTCTGAGGCTGCTACTATTGGAAGTAGTGGTAAAAGCTCTGTGAAAACATCTGTGTCAGTGTAGAGTGCTCTGAAAATCTTGCTTTGTACAATAAGCATAAATTGAAAGAATCGTTCTGCTCCTGCTCTTATTGTAAATAATAGTGATAATATACTTCTGAAACGTGTGTTTGCTGCGGAGTTCACCTGATAATCTGAATTGGTTAAGCAAACAAAAAGATGCCCTTCTTTTTATAAAGCCAGGTATAAACTTGATGCACAAGGTAATGGTGAATTGAGCATAACATACTGCGACTATATGTCTATAATCAAGCAATCCTGATATCAGTACATGATATAGCAACTACGTAGGCAGGTCTGTCTGAATTTGAGAACGTATGTAATTCATCATATGCTTGCTAATTAATAGAGCGGTTACCTTAAAGATGGTCTATGTTATCCACATCCAAACCCAGATATTGAATCAGCACATTATTGTACATATAAGACAGTAGTTACTGTAGGAGATTTTTATCTCTCTTTCTTCCCCCCAGGTTTATATAAGTCTCTTTGGCAAAATAATAATTTCTGTCTTTGTCTTTCTTTCACCTTAGACAGGATATTCCCATAGACCCTGTCCAATCTAATTTCCATACAGCCAGCACAGACAATTCTACATTTTAATTTGCATTAAACTGGCAGATGCAGCCTGCATAGAAGTATTTTGCATTTTTGTACAAGTTCATGGTAGCCTGCTCTCTTATTCTGTGTTTATCTTGGGGAAAAAATAATGACAAGCTTCCTTTTTAAAACTGACATTTTATTTTCTTTGGAAGGAAAATAGTATATTTGGCTTCAATGGAAAATGCTTATTGTTCCTCTAGAAACTGCATTCTCCCGTTCTATTCCACCTTTTCTGCTGTAAACCACCTTTTTTTTTAGTCATAAAATAAACTTATCACTTCTGCCTGCATTCATTTCTTGCTATAAATTTGGATGGAGAAAATATAATTTTCTCCAATGCATACTTTAGTCTTCTTTGTACCCTGTTTCAAAAAATCCATTCAAGGATACAATAATGCAATTATTTTTGCTTTCTAAGATGACATCCTTCTTAATAGTATTATATATCCTACAAAATCATAATCAGGGTACTGAATTAATTTTCCTTTTTGTCTGTGTAGTGTGACTTAACAAGTTCTACATGAGCTTTCCCAGAACTGAGATAGCCATTAGTGATTGGGGGGGGCTGTTGTTCACTTTATTAACCTGTAAGCAGCACTACGTGCTTCAGTCTTCTGTTTCTTTCTGTAAAGAATATTCAAGTATTGGCAACACTGCAACATAGTAGTTATAAAGTTAAGGAAACTATTTTGCTTGCTACTGCTGCAGGGATCCCAGCACTAGCTAATGGGATGGTATCGATGGAAATGACAATAATTCAACAGGATTGCATAACCGACTGAACTCTGCCATCTAGGTTAAATAAAATATTGGAGAACGGCAAAGTGCATCACATTGTCAATACAGTCTTCGTTTGTGTCTGGTGTGTTGGTATTTGCAGTGATGAAGCTCCAGGCAGCCAGTTGGTTACAGATAAGTTTCACATTGACTGGGACTCAGTGCTTGTCAACTCTGATAATGTCGTCGTAGCTCGATTTGATGGCAGAGGGAGTGGATTTCAAGGCCTTAAGATTCTACAGGAGGTCCACCGATGCTTGGGATCAGTGGAAGTGAAGGACCAAATAGCCGCTGTAGAGTACGTATGTGCAAACTTTTCTTCTCTTTTTACCCCGCTTCCACCCTGATGAACGAGCATGTTTAACTGAAACTGCCCAGAATGTTTTCTGTGCATAGTGAATACCGTTAATGTTTATTTTTAATGCAGTTGCAGATTTTGAAACAATGATCTTTTCATTACAAACAGCAAATTAAAGGTCAAAGAGGTGTTTGCTTTTTGTGTTGGTGCTTCTCTTTGATAAAGCTGTCCTTCTGTGTGCAATCTAAATGTGCCATCTCAGCTAATTCGTACTTGTCTATATTCTCTTAGGAAATTTCCTTGCAGCACACATGTTAATGCATTTGTGTTACAATATTTTAGGCCTATGCAATAGGATGCTTCTGTCATTTCCACCACAGAGTTCTGGAGTAATCAGACAAAGCAAATGGAGTTATAATGGTGTAAATGAGAGCAAAATTTGGGAAATGCCTGTTATTTCTCATTTCCATTGTTGTTCTCAGACTGATAGAAATCCACCAGCTGCAGAAAGAGTCATTTTGCTCTGTGGACTAATCCCACATGGCTTTGACAACACTCTCTGCTAAGGGTGCATGTCAAAATGGCTAATATCAAGGTCTGGATGGACTTTTTCTAGGGATTCTCAAGGATAAACAGATTTTAAGCCACATATTTTTGTTTTTTCTTCTTTTAAAAGGGGTTGATACTTCAACCCTTGCATGAGCAGGCATCTGTCTCTGGCATGACATACCAGGGCAATAGGGCTCCTAGTGTTCATGTGGGTCAGGAATGGGCTGTGGTGAGCAGAGCAATTCACCTTCCGTTGATCCAGGAGACCTGTGTGAAGGGCCATCAGAAGCAGGCTGTACACCGTGCTGCGAGATCTGAGCTCTCTGCTGAAATACTAAGGTGTTTTAGGCTAAATTACATCTGGCCTTTTGCAGTGCATGGGAAAAAGTGAGGGTGCCCTTGGCTGAGAGGAGGTACTGCGACTGGTTTTGTCTCCTCAAAAGCAGTCGGATTTTGCTCTCAGGTTATTCTGTCTTTTCTGTATAAAATTCACCATTGCTGATTAATGGGCTTGATGAGAGAATTAATTATTTGGATAATTATCTAAACTCAAGAAGTTGCATTCATCTTACCTTCCTTTAGCTGTCTAAGAACTAGGCGCCTGGTCAAAGCCAGTCATTTAAGCTCTGTTCGGTGGAAATCCCTGGCATTTCTGGAGCGTGTTTCTCCTCAGACTGAGAGAGGCTTCCAATACAGGTGGGAAGAATGGCTGCTCAAGGGCTTCTCTCTCTTCTCTCCTCTAACTGAAGAGTAAATGGGCAATTTAGACAAGATGCTCAAATTCAGATACCGAGTTAGGTGAGATGAGTCCAACACCAACTGTTTGCCGTATAGAGAAGGAGTTAGAAAGCAAATGACATTTCCCAGTGCAAGAATACTACTATTGCTGTAATTTGTTCTTCTACCCGATCCGAATATATGACAATTCCTTACTGTACAGTTATTTTTCTTCACATACTAGGTTTAACAAGTAAAATTCACCATTTTACTTTACCAAAGTAAAAAAAACCCTTTTCTTCTTGCAGATCACTGTTGAAACAGCCCTTCATTGATCCTAAGAGACTGAGTATATTTGGAAAGGTAATGTGCAAAATAGCAGGATGTATCGTCATGATTCTTTAAGAAAATACTATCGGTTCATAAACAGATATGTTTATATGTTTTTCTAAGACAATTTCAGTTATTAAAAGAGGAAAAAAACCTGCCATAATTTACTGTATGTTCTGTGTATTAATTTTTTCTCAGAATAGGTATTTGAGGTCAATCAGATCAGTTTTATGGTACTGAGTATTTGTGTTTCAGAATCTGCAGGAGAAAGTACTTATCTACTTTCATTAGAAATTTTAATATGGGCATAGATTTTGTGAAAGTTTATTTCTTACACTTTTACTTTCAGGCTGCAGTTAAACTGACAGCATCCTTCTAATACAAATTTTATATCTGAATGTTTTACTGACCCTTGAAGTCAGCTGAATTACAGCCCTGTGGTACTGTCAACAGCGGCCTTTTTGCACCATCTGCTAAAAATCTCGCCATTGCTGTTTTGTCAGCTGGCTTCACTGCGTGCCATGTCGTTGCCTCTAGTGTGAGATAGAACAAGGCAAAGGCTTAACCTTTAGTAACAAACAAAATAGCATTTTACTAATGTCTAGTAGAAAACAGCAATTGGAAACACCACATAATCATAGAATCATAGAATTCTAGGTTGGAAGGGACCTCAAGGACCATCTGGTCCAACCTTTCTAGGTAAGAGCACAGTCTAGACAAGATGGCCCAGCACCCTGTCCAGCTGAGTCTTAAACGTGTCCAATGTGGCAGAGTCAACCACTCCCCTGGGGAGATTATTGCAGTGGTTGACTGTTCTCATGGTGAAAAAATCCCCTCTCGTGTCCATTTGGAATCTCCCAAAGAGCAACTTGTGTCCATTCCCCCTTGTCCTCTCCATGTGACTCCTTGTAAAAAGGGGGTCTCCATCTTCCTTACAGCTACCCTTATAGCTACCTATTATAGCTTCGTTATAGCTACCTATAATCGCTGCTTCTTCTATGAACTAGCATGTGCAACCTTTTTCTTTAAAAGTGTTTTCTTCGAAATGAAGATGTTTTGTGCCTTTGACCTCAAAGCAACAACAAACCATGATCATGCACCTAGGCAAACCCCACATTCATCAGTTGTAAGAGCAGCATGTGTTCCACTATGAAACCCTTTAGTTCCCATCCCCACTCTGCTACTGATTTGCTGCATGGCCTCAGGAAAGGCATTTAACCTGCCTGTCTCTGTCTGGGCATGAGATGAGAATATTGATATTTACCTCCTGCATGGCAGCATTTTGAGGACTAGTTAATGTTTGTCAAGTGTAGTGAAAATGAAGTACTACTATTAGCATTCCACATGCAAGTGGCCTTCCTCAAAGATTTGAGCTCCTGCCACACTCCTTGAGCTAAAGAATCTGTCGTTGCAAGAATATCAGTAGCAACAAAACCAGTATTTGGTTCATAGGGCAGCAGCCAGGGAATTTTCAGCTGAGGATGTGTAAGTAGGGCTGATTTCATTCACCAGGTGATCATGGCACACGTTTCTATTCAGGTCTTAGTGCCTGTTACAAATGTGTATGAAAGCACACATGCATATAAGCATCTACACTTATCTATAGCCACTTCCCACAAAAGACTGAAAATGTCACTAAGCACTCTGAGGCTCACTTGTTTCTGACTTCAGAAATCTTGTCATTGCTACTTGAAAATTTCCACTTGTTTCCTGTAGGAGATTCAGCAGTTTCTTGTTTCCTAACAGTGATGTGATGAGATGGTTACCGTACACCATATATGTAAATATGGCTCTACAGATCTGCCAACGGTTACCCCCAATTATTTTTTTTCTGAAAAAAAGACTGAGGAATGAAAAGTGGAAATGTGAGAAAGCAAAGAGCAGAAACTGGGAAATTCGATAAGCTTCAATGCTGCTTTGAATTCAGGGAAATTTACCCTTTCCAAGCTAACATCTCAGAGTTGTCTTCTACTGTCAAACAAAAACTCATAAAATTTAAAAGTCAGTTTTAGAATTAGGAAAAAAAGGTCTATTTAACAGCTTCCTGGGGTTAATTGTATTTCCCTCCACTCTGCTTATTTTAGAGTCAATTAAAAATCTTCTTTAAAACTATTTTCCTTTCTACTGTGTACAACAATGTGATAAGAATTTTTTTTTCTTTCTGTGCATTAAATTGGGCTTACTGATGGAAATAGAATGTACACTATGCTTGAAGATAAGATGGCTTTGGAATTGCTTAACGCTGATCTCATAAATCTGAGCTCATGCACACTATCATGGAGCCCTTTAAGAGGTTTTAGAATGACACAGAAATAAAATTCTTGTCACAATCAGTAATGTAAACCAGGCACAAGAGTAACAAGACTGTCCAGAAGGGCACAGTGTGAAAAATACCTCCTTCTGAATGCCAGGCAATCTGCCAATGCCACCTTGCTTATCTCTGTGAGGGGTAGAAGCCCAAGTGATGCTGGATCCAAGGGCCTTTCTGAACTGTTACACAGCGATCTGTGCTTCCACGCAGTTTGCATTTTTGTCATGGAAGTAGAAAGAGCGCTTGAAAATAAGGTGCAACTTCCCAGCCAACCAGCTTCTTGAAAATATGGCACTTGGGCTGTAACCACAGAAATCCAGCCAATGAGTGAGGCACCATACATCCTTGCGTCAGAACATCGGAACTATTTTCTGCACTGTCATCATGAAGTGCTTCTAAAAATGTGATCCCACCGTGTAATGTTTTTGTCCTGGAAAGCCTGTCTGGAAGCAAGGGCACAAGCACAAAGCAGAGAAATTCCCAGGAGAACTAAACCAAGCTCTTAATGAATACAAGGCATAAATAATAAATAACCTGGCAATAGCTATCCTAGGATTAGAAGTTTACTGTGGAGCTACTGAGAAAGACACAAACAGAATATTAAAGAGAAGCAAAATAGAGACCTAGAGGCAGAGGAAAGTCACTATTCTCTTAAACTCCTTGCATTATACAAGTTATCGGTGCCCACTCTGAAATTCTTTCTTAGGTGAACTCTACTCCTGCACATGGACAATTCTGAGCAGCTCTTGGAATCCTGGGCTGGAATTTCTATGCGAAAGAGATAACTCAGTTCCTCACACTCCCTTGAAAATCCAGCTCTTATTCTGCTGTTTCCTTTAGTGTGTCCGTTCACATTTACTATGGATTGATTCCGAAGAACACTCCTCCTTGCTTATTTTTCTTAACTAAGGTTAAAGGATATTAGAATATTCCCGTTCTTCCACAGAAGTCACCTATTCATTAAATATTTAGGCATGAAGAACAGGAGCAGGCAGGATTAAAAAAAGTCCGTGAGAAAACTCTGTGAGCATATGACACAGAATATTCCTTTTTCGGGTTGGCTGGTGTTTTAAATTTTTCTTTTCCCTGTCATGGGATAATTTCTTCTACCTCAAGTGTGTTGTGCCAAACACAGAACAACACCACAAAAATACCTGCAAAAGTCAATTTTCCAGCAGTGATGAAGGGAAAACAAAGATGGCAAATAGATAATTTTGAAGAGCCCATAATATATAGACTAAATATAAGGAAGAAATTCTTTACAGTGAGGGCAGTGAAGCACTGGAACGGGTTGCCCAGAGAGGTAGTGGAGACCCCATCCCTGGAAACATTCAAGACCACATTGGACGGGGCTCTGAGCAACCTGATCGAGTTAGTGGTATCCCTGCTCACTGCAGGGGGGTTGGACTGGGTGACCTCGAGGGGTCCCTTCCAACCCAAAACATTATCTGATTCTATATGAGAAAATCATCGATCCCAGGCTCCACGATTCAGAATTTCATTTTCTGTGGGTCGAGAATGATTATAGGTGTACAGATACAGATTGCCAGTGTCATTCCAAAGAAATCTGTGGTCTCAAGTTAAAGCTTTCATGTTTTCATGCAAAGCAAAGCTTTCATGACCCTCTTTTGTGTCTCAACTCTTCCCGGGGAGGTGTATTACAGACTTTGCAGAGGAGATGATGAAGAGATGTTCCATAAGGACAGATAAATGTGGTGAGGCAAGGAGAGAGCTCCCTCCTGTCTGCCCCATCCCTCCCAGTTTCTTCATGCTGTCTGCGCTCCCTGCTTTGTAACACAGCCGCCTGATGGGTGCTCTTGTGGCCAGAAAGGACACCCAGAGATGAGCATAATATTGAGCAATGGGGCTACGTATAGCTTTTATTTCTGCAAAAGAGTTCAGGATCTGTAACTCTCTGTGGCATATTTGACAATGCTGTAGTGGAAACGTCTTTAATAGCGATAGGCTTCAATTGGTGAAGGTTTAAGTGTCAGGGGGAGGACGTACACAATCAGTTCACAGGTTTCCCCCATACCCATACTGTCTGTCCTGGCAGCAAAATGCTCAGTGTAGCATTTTGATTAGCAAATATCTACACTCAATATATTAAAAACTGAGTACAAATCTTCCTGTCTAGGCTGTGTTCCCAAAAGCCATACCTTTGGGTTTATGTTTGGGGTTTTTTTTTCTGTAATTTTCAAATCTTTTACTAACTACAGGCTAGTCTACCATGATGGAATTATGGAGCTTAAACTGAAATATACTCATTATTATTAATTGCATGGTTTAAAGATCACAACCAGACCATACGAGATCTTTATGCACTCTTAACTGTAGGTTCGATTTTTCTTTACAAGCAATTCTTGCAGATATAAATACGTACTGTAAAATGATAACATCAGATTAGCACAATGGCCTTTAACTTTATAGTTGCTAAAAAGGAAATGACTAAACAAAAATCTCAATATCATTCCCATTGTTAGGGGTACGGTGGCTACATTGCATCAATGATCCTGAAATCCAGTGAACGGCTCTTCAAGTGTGGAGCTGTGGTGGCACCAATTACAGATATGAAGTTGTATGGTGAGTAGTCCCTGCCCTACACCTGTGTGATAGTCTATTCAAAGTATCTTTTATTCATGGAGCTACTATTCACTTTAACTAAGGGCAGATAATGTAGCAATATCAACTAGATTTCACCTCGCTGTCTCGTTCTCCCCTTTAAATGAAAGGACAGCTAATGCTGGGGCAGTTTACCAAAACACGCGATAGGTACAATATGATTAATAACACTGATTTTTGCAAAGGAGTTGTGTTTCCCATTTCCCACTGAATTCAGCCAGGTACCCCATTTCCTAAGAATCCTTTAGGTATATCAGCCTGAATCAGGACTTTCAGTAGGAATTAATCTTTTAAGGTTAGCAGTGAATTCGTTACGATATCAACCATGTCGTCATTCAATTACAGGATGTTTGGTTCTGTAGGGGAAGTCTGGGGCATGGGCTATGGACTGTGGACTGTGATGCAGAGGAAATCAGACCAGGTTACTTTAATGGTCTGTTGGTCTTGTCTTTGGTTTTTGGGTTTTTGTTTTGTTTTGGAGGGCTTGGAGAGGGTTGTTGGTAGTTTTTTAACCATTTAAAAAACGGGTTTAAATGCTACATTTAAATAGCACATTCTGGTTTTAAATTAACATCTCTTTGCTGGCTTCATGGTTTAAGCAGCTTCTCCTGACTCTAGGTCAGAACTGATGAGTTTTAAAATAGAAGTAATTATAATGAATTCAAGAGGTTTTGTTTTTGCTTTCACAGCCTCAGCTTTTTCAGAAAGATACCTTGGTATTCCATCAAAAGAGGAAAATACCTATCAGGTAAGTTAGCACAAACAAGTAACTTATAAAAGACCATTTTACTTTTAAAATGCAATTCACTTACACCTTTGTGTTTGTTTACTAGGCATCCAGCGTATTACACAATCTTCATGGTTTAAAAGAAGCGAATTTGCTAATAGTTCACGGGACAGCTGATAGTAAGTATTTACAGGTGCAGTTCCACTTGAAGGTTTTAATAGGCAGGCATTCAAAGACTGATTAGACACACATCTAGCAAGTCCATTTTTAGTTTCATTATCCCTCCGGTAGGATTTTTTATTTTATTTCAGTTGTCACTTCTAACTCTAAACCCATGATGCTTTTCTTTGCTGAATAGTTGTACCTTTTAGGTGCTGTATGTTCTAATTTGTTTGAATCTTGTGGACCACTGTCTTGCTAGTGAAAGGTATTATGTGAATTATTAATAGAACAACATACATTTTTAATGGCATTTTAAATTCACAGAGATTCTGCAATTGAAGAAAGAATTATCAGTACAGTTGGTGAAGTACAGCACCTACTGGGAAGTTAAACTTTTCAGCTAATTAATTACAAGGTAGTGCCAAAGCATCTGAAGCTGAAGCTATAGGGAACCTTTTAATAGCACCAATACTTTTAGCCGTAGTTTAAGAGAGAGAATGAGTAAAACAGAGTTAGTTCTAGCACTTTAAATGGAATCATAAGATGTGTCAATCAAGAGATAATATGTAATTACAGATTTAAATTTAACTGCAGTATATTTTTCTGAACTTTCTTAACTGATGTAGGTCTAAAGAACCAGCTTGGATGCAGGCACAAATTACA